CACTCCCCCTCGTCATGGAAAGGATAATAAGTGTTTATCTCCCGCCGATAATTATATTGATCGTCCTGCAACCTGTCATATAGGTTTTTACCGATACCAAAGACGTATCCAGAGCGAGGATGACAATGGCCAGTGGTATTAGATGGCGGACCTCGCAACCCAGGGGGAACGGCTGATTGTTGTGAACGTGCTTTGTGCGGCCAGCAGGTAGACTGTGAATTGAGATGCAGAACGACTGCTTCGATCGAAGGGAACTCCCTATTGCAATTGGGACACAGCCTGGTAAAGGTATGCATACTAAAGCTAAAGTCAAAGCAACTTAATGGATAATACGCACATTTACTTGGGCAATGGGTCAGCGTTGGAGTCTAGTCTTTCAAACTCCGCTGTGTTGCTTGCTGACATTGCCAGTGTATTCACAGGGTATTGGTGTATTCACTGTACTATTATCAGCCTGCATTGAAGGCTAGAGAGACACTGTCTTGCCGACATTGATATTTGTTCATGTCACCCTCACTTCCACCTTCATCTCCGACTCGACCCAGCAGTCCCGGCAACTGCCTCCCTCCATCAAGCAGTCCCCCATCCTCTCCTCTATCGGGATCTTCTTCAGCTCCTGGGTCGCCTCTTTTTGATTCTTTCCATCTCTCAGAGAGTTCTCCTGATACCAGACATTCTGACCTATGTGCTTCCCTCAAAGGTATCTCCTCAGCGGAGAAGACACCTCCGCCCGTGACTCCGGCTTCTGCTACTGAGGGATCAAACAGCTTATTTTATAATCCACCCGCATCTCCAGATCTTTCTCGCAGTGCTCGACGTCAGTTTATACGTGACAGAATGAGCAGGAAGTTTGTACCATACCCCCCGGACCCAGCTCCACTCGAGGTTCGTTTTGCAGCGCGTCTTATGGGGCGGGAACGCAGACCTTATGTATCCAGCGAATCTCTTCTCAAGGTATTATTATTCTATCCAGTTCCATCCAAACAACTCATTTATATTTTATAAAGCATGCTGGATACTTAGAGAATGGCCTTGCGCAAATGCATCCTTCAACTCTGTACAAAGGATACCAGGCACAGCTTGCAGCTCGTGAGACTGCGCGTCAGCGCATGCTGGCGACTGCGTGGGAAATCGAGGAAACTGAACGCTTCATCATATTCCTCAATGCCATACATGCCGACAATGAAGACCGGCTCAAACTCACAGACGACCAGTTACACGCCTTTAGGAACCTCTTTTCTGAGCGTGACTGCGTAGATGCCGATGATGACCGAGACTATCTTCAAGCGGTCTATGAAGATGAATGCGAAATTCTTAAGATTGTCGCATCCCAAGCTGAGCATGTGGCAAAGGTCTTAGGCTCACGTGTCAGCAAGGCTTTCCAACATGGGGTTGGAGCATCCAGATCGTCTTCGTTGCAACCTGGGTTTGTTGGTGATGACAGTGTCGATAAGGCATCTGTAGAATCCGGGGCCGATGGTTCCGGATCCCCCACTGCCGGCGGGGTTCCTGATGACGACGACAACCCTATATATCTGGGAACCCCTGATAACCTTGGAATTCGTCCCAAAGCGTCTTGCGTGGCCACCGCAATGTGACTTCTTATCGTGGTAAGTCGATTCATGTGTCTGATTATTACTCCACACTGATTGATTGATAAGGAATGTTGTAATACACGCGACACCCTTTCATCATAGCCTTCTTCCAGACCGTGTTAGTTTGTCATATGCACACCGTTTTTTACCTCCTCGCCCCTTCTTTCCCCGCTTCTTTGACCTCACGGTCACAAGTACATCAAGTCACAAGCTGTATAGTTTGTTTGCATTCGCGTATCTCCGTTTGTATTAGAATTGTAATTGATATGCCCTTTGCCCTCCCCCAAGTGATTCTACCTTGATGAGTACCCAACGTCGTGCGCCGCGCAAAGGTAAAACCACAATTCCAAAACCTCCTCGAGGATCTGGTCTCAACCCTTCCCATGCGCCTGCGGACACGCAGATCAATATTCCCGACGAACAACCGCGGCCTCCGGAAATGTCTAACTTCGATCCACATCAGCGACAGCACGCCTTTGGTACATATAATCAGTGAGTCTTCCCATCTCTTTTGTCGCGGACTCAGACTCAAAATAACAATAGGCCGAGTCCCGGCTACTCAAATCCTGGAGATAGTAGCTCAGGTGCCGGGTACACCAACTCGCTCTTAGGCGCCGGGTACACCAACTCGCTCTCTAATGCCGGGTACACCAACTCGCTCTCTAACGCCGGGTACACCAACTCTCTCTCTAGCGCCGGGTACACCAACTCTCTCTCTAGCGCCGGGTACACCAACTCTCTCTCTAGCGCCGGCTACACCAACTCTCTCTCTAGTGCCGGCTACACTAACTCTCTCTCTAGCGCCGGCTACACCAACTCTCTCTCTGCTGCCGGCTATAGCGCCCAGTCCTCCTCCCAGTCCTTGTCTGGCGCTCAATCCCCAAGGGCTGGTCCCTCAAACATCAACTACAATGTTCCATCACTCGCGTCACGTACGTATTGTTTCTTTTCATCGTAAATCATTTTCTAACAAACACACCATGTTCAGCACCGAGCTCCCACCTTATCGGGCCCATACCTCATTGGTTAGGCGGTGATGCCGACGCCGCACGCGCACTGACACACAATCCCATACTGGACGAAATACCGGTATCCAACGTGATACATGTGAGTACTTAATGTTATATATCTTACTACACGTTTTAATGATAACAGACTTTGGGTCCGGTGCGCTCTATCGAAAGACGCCGACGCTCCCGACGTATGCCCTCAACGCCGTCGTTGGCGCCTTATTCGGCGCCCCCATGCCCGACGCGTACCCCAAATCCCAGCCCGCCTCCATCCCCAACGCGCACTCCAAATCCTGGCCCGTCCTCGGCTACAACGTCGAGTGACGTTGTCATCCAGGTCAAGGTCAGTGCGGCGGACCGCGAGCAAGTCTACAGCCGCTCGCGAGACCTTATCAAGGGCACCATCTTCACGCCTGATGCAATCGCATCAAAATCTGAGGACCAGAGTCGCCTCGTCAGGGATATGATCAAAGCATCAGCGCCTTCCATTCCGAGCCTTCGCGGTAAGTTCAATGAAGACTCTTTTAGCTTATACTGAATGAATAGTAGGGCTAAATCGATGGCCATCGACGCCGAAAGATGTGCCGACGATTTGGCGGGGAGTGGTCCTAGTGCGTTCGACGATGATGACGATTGCGCGACAAAACGTGGTGATGGCATACGACCTGCTCCCCGAACACGATTCCAACATCCCGCCAGATCAATTTCGTGTCGATCGAGTAGCTAGTCTTGTGCGAGACAAGGCCTATATGCACAAACATTCATTTTCTCAAGTATGTTTATTTTTTGTTTCGAAATCAAGATCTAACTAAGGCTTAGGACGGGACGGTGATCATTCACAACAAATGCCAGAATAAATTCATATTCACCCTGCTCATCAAACTCATCTGGCTCTCGAATCACGGACTTCACGCGCTACTCGGCAACCACCAATCACCTCGTGAGGCACTGCATCATGCGTACTGCCTTGCATGTTCAATAACGGAGCATGCATTATTGGAACAAGGCCAACTAATATTCACGAAGCAGAAGTTCTCGCCGACTGAGAACAAGACGATATTCGATAGCGTTAATTTTTTTCTAAATTCTCTCAGTGAGGAGGAGAAGGCAAGTCTTGATAGATGGAAAGACCATCTGATTGTTTGTGGGAGGTCGCAACAGGGGTCTACTGCCATTCTTTCCGATTTCGACTTGACTATTGAAACGTAGAATTTGGACTATAGTTTGCAGTTTTAGCATAGTTCATAGTTTTTGTGTTAGATTCCCACAAATTTCGTGATTCTACCTACAATAAATTATTAAAATGCATACCGGAGTGCTTCAAACAGTCAGATATTAGTATTACGAACGCCAAACGTATACCGGAGTACTTAAAACAGTCATTACGGATGCCTGACCTGACTATACCATATCCGAGAAGTTTCAGACATGTTTTAAACTCGGTTCGAACACGGACCCTCTCTTAGATGTATGATTCTGAAGACTGAGTAACGGTTCCCAGGGTCCTCAGAATCACACAGCACCGGACCTGCTGGGAATGTATCCCTAACCAGCCAGCCAGCCATGCCAATTCATATCCTATGATTGCCAATGACCGAGTCTCGTTCCCAACGTCGTCATGTGTCCTGCATCAATATGTATGACTACGTGACAGTTTTCCTCTCAATGAAAAGTGTCACCTTTCATGAAATTCAGTAACGTTTGACTCACACGAATTTGACAAGGCCCGTTGCATGAATTCACTTTACCCCTACATACGGATCGCACACTGCCCGTGATGCTACCCCACCCAAACTCCACACCGTCACGGTAAACGTCACTGCCGATCCATGTCATGAGTATACGTCAGTATGTGATTCATTTGATTTCTTAATGGTTGGATCGACGACATTCTACTAAGGTACTGCCAACCTGCCAGCACCTACGCCAGCCTCGATCGGCAAAATCGACGTTAACATACTCTCCGAAAATCGTGCATGGGTTCCATGTGAGCAATGACAAGGAATCGATGACATGGTATGTCCATGTCAAGACTCGGGCGATCTGCAAGTACAGATTACCCGGTCCTCTGCGGCAAGGCAAACGCTGTCTTCCGTGGTTCAGAGACATTCCAAGCACTTTCTACATAAGGCGGTAGTCCCCGGCCGGATATATACCTCCGGTGACCCGGGATGAGCGCTGAGCCTCGTGATTTTAGCTTTACACCGCTTCAGTCGTGCTTCTTAAATACTGCCACGAGACCGGCAGAAGAGACGGAGCAATAAACCGGAGCTGATATTTACATTACATCCTGTATATAGATGTTCGAGAAGAAAAGGGGATGGCATAAATCGACCAAAATGCTATAAAGCTGCATGCGCTACAGAGACTCCTTTGCAATCACATACCATACAAATTAGACATGAGAGGGGGTAGTCACTGGCACTTGTTCTATGATCCTGTTCCACAGGTAAACAATGAATTGACTCGTGTTCCTGTACTGGATGCGAAGCCAGCGTCGCAGGAGGGACCCAACGTGAATATGATTTGCAGCCAGTACAGACCACATGGCTAGAATGGCTATGACGACCCATGTCGGATACGCGATCGAGATGATGGCAATGCCAGAAGTGCGGAAAATTACAACAGACAATGCTGCAGCAAAGGATACTATTCTGTCGAACAATGAGCTGCTGATGTAGAATGGGACAGGAAACCTACCCCCATATCAGAAGGCCGAACGGTAGACTGAGCATAAAGGGAAAGCTTTCCAAGCCAAGCAAAGAACCCGTCATTCCTATTAAGAAAGAAACCTGAGGGTGTAAAGATTATCGGATCAACAAGGAGAGATGAACACACCCCGTCCGTAAGAGAGCCTCGTAGACTCTTATTAACATGTCCAACCAATAATAGTGTAACTATTAACGAGCCCATGACGCAGAGAGTAGACATGTAAGATAGGAGGGTCGCAGGCGTTTGAGTCTCGATAGATGGGACTGCGAGAAAGCTGATATCAACAGCAAGCATCACAGTAGACTAAGATAGTCATTGACTATGATAACAATATGAAGCAAAGGTACAACTCACAAATATCGTATATCCATTCCAGTCGCTATTCAGCTTGTCTATGTACTGCTTCCACCGCGCATCAACGATGTTTTGATCGACCAATATCTTGTGGAAGGCCCTGCTCTGTGCATCAGGGGATCCAAATAAAATAACATTCATCGCACGAAAAAGCATGTTTTTGGAGGTGTCAGATTCTCCGTATAACGACTGGTCTACGTCAAGTCTGGCGCTTGGCTGTCCACAGAAATTCATGAACTTTGTGCTGCCTAGCAAAGTAATCAGGAAATGTAAATAGCAGACTACTAGCCGAATCACAGAGATTTTTCATAAATCGAGCTGACATCAGTAAACATATCAGAAGCAATCCACCGACCGTCCATGATTGAACTTACCGGCGATCCATACAGAGTGCTCACACTCCTTGTTAGTACTGTCTAAAAAGACGATCAGTAGCGACCCCCTTCATCGGCGAATGATTCACCCTCAAGAAGATCTATAAGGCTGAGCATACTTGCAATCTTATCCGAAGTAAAGCGTGTTAGGGATGTTGCAGAAGTGATACTGTCTATTATAGGTCAATCTTGTAGGGCATGAAACACTTATTAATATTTACTCACCTGCCTGGGTATACATGACAAGTTCTTTGAGTTCCATGGCGACATCTTCCGGAAGGGAACGTTTGTTTGGAAATAATTCAATGTGTGTCCTGTCAATATCATGATATCCAAGTTATGAGGCAAGAAGGGCTGAGGCAAAGTGAGGTCATTGACATTGATCAAATGAGGTGATATGCGTACTTCTAGAAGTCATACGAACCAATACTGTGTTTCTAGTGCATACTCTAGGTACGACGTGAGTACAGAAGCTCGAAATGGAAGTATTCCATGAAAGAACGTACTGATGTGGCTCTTGCGCTCTACACCTCGAACGCCGTCCATGAGGGGATATGATTTGTAATCTTCGAACCAGAAAATGACACGTCGTTTGTGGTCAACAAAGTAGTAGCCCCATGTTTCTTTGCCAGCCTGCATCATGAACTCCAACACGAGCTCGACGGATGGATGCAGAAAGATGTCTGCATTGCACGCTCCTTTGTACGCCTTTTCAACAGCTGTGGCTAATTTGGCAGCAGTTTTAGGATCTCGAGCATCGGCATCAGTGAAAACTCTCTAGTGTGCGATTTGAGTGAGGCCACATGGAGCGGGCGGTAGACGCACTTTATATGGGTGATAGAAGATCAAAGCCCCTTCTGGTTGCGTGAGTGGCTCCCATCCCGCTGTTGGACAAAGCTCCCTACGAGTTCATTTTCAATTTCGTCCCTGACTTTCTTACCATCATGCTTACTCTGAACAGTCCAGAGGACCTTTTTGAACCAAGAACACCTTGAACTCAGTTGTACTGTGAGTATGGATTAGAAACAAAACTCGCTCAAAATACAATTTGCGCGCACACTCGCACATTCCTCCGGTATCGATTGATCTGGCGGGGTATAATGGGAATTAGAGTGATATCAAAGGTTTGGCCTTGCGCCGCAAGAGGCGATGGCATAGTGATTTGGATATTATTTTGGGGGATGCTGAGTTCGAGTACAGAGTTCGAAGGAAAGTCTGTGTTAAAAGCTGCATCATTCGACCCTCCATGAAGCCCAGGAATCATCTGAAGATGCTGAGTGCCCATTTGAGGTTGGGACCCTTGGCTGTGTATACTCTGTAGAGGTGCCTCGAGCAACGGCACTGCAAGGCTCACAGGAGGCGCCGGCTCGGAGTCGGGTTGGTTCAAGCTGGTCCCTGGCTGAGAGCTCAATGCTAAACCACCAGGCCGTTCACGGAAGTCTTCCTCCTTCCCATTCAGGATGGATTGACAGTGTCGGACCAGTCGCAGGAGTACGGTGAGGAGACTGTACGATCGAAATGCGGCTGTCTTGACAATGTGCCTCAGCCACAAGATGAACATGATGGAAGCGAATAGAGCCGTGCACTAAAACTAGATGACTTTGTTTCAAACTAGTAAGTAAGAAGAACGATGGGAAGGTGTAGGAGGATGAATGTACGATCCAACGAACAGCATGACACACGTCTTGGATTGGAGCCGGAATCGCTCTGAGCGTCAAGATTGTCTTTAAATTGAGACTGACATTATCCTCACATGATGCTGGGGTCAATTACGGAGGTGTTTTGCCACTAATTCCTGCGATACCATATATATCGCGATTGCGGAACTCAAACGGAGCTAAAAGTGAGTGCATGCCAGTACTGTGTCAATACTATCCTAAGTATGTACTGTAACGTACTCGCGCTAGGGAAATGGGACTACATAGTATACAAAATTACACCACCACTTGATTGGTCGTCTCAACGCCTAATACAAATTGATAATGTTATCATAACAGAACTGGACATACTAGTACATAAAAAGGCGGGGAAGCTATCATCGTACATTTTTGCAGAAAAGAGATCTAGACAAGCCTTGTGCTAAGCATGTCAATTCCTGATCTAGAGCTGGTAAGTTCTGTGTAGGGCTATTCAGGAGGAAACGTGTATCATGTATTAAGTTGTAAAATACCATGTACTAACTATATGCGTGTCGCACCACAGAAAGTCCCTGCAATCAGACAACACAAATTAGCGATGAGAGATGATGATGGGTCCCGCAGCCTGAGGTAAAACATGTTCTATGATCCAGAACCTCAACTGAGAAATGTGAATGTTATTAGCGGCAAGTACAGGCCACGTCGCCAGGACGAATACGGCGACCCAAACTGGAGATGTGATTGAAATGGCGACAACGCCACAAGTGCGAAAGATGAGGGTGGACAATGCCCCAGCAAAGAACGTCATTCTGTAAAAGGATGAGCTACTAGTCCGTGGAATATAACCCGGAAACTGACCCCCAAATCAGAAGTGCAAACGGCAGGCTGAGCATCAGGGCAAGGCTTTCGAGGCCGAACATAGACTCCGATATTCCTACCATGAAAGAGGCCTGTGGACACAATTAATGTAGGCAATGCGATCAAACATAAAAACCTACCACGTCTGCAGCGGAGCCTCGCCGGCTGTCGTTAACTTGTCCAGCCAAGATCAGCGAGACCACTAAAGAGCCCATGGCGCAGAGGGAAGACAGATATGTTAAAACGATCGCGGTCGTTTGAGGCGTGATAGTTGGGACCGCGAGAAAACTAATATTCACAGCGAGCATCACAGTAGACTGAGACGGTCATTTATTGCACGACAATTTGGAATGAAAGCACAACTCACAAATATTGTATATCCATTCCATTCGGTGATGAGCCTATCAATAAAACCCTTCCATCGTGGTTGAACGATGGTTTCATCGACCCATATCTTGTGAATTGCCTTGCTTTGAGCAACTGGGGATCCAAACAGAATAACATTCATGATACGAATAATTATTTTTTTCGAGCGGGTGTCATGTTCTCCATATAATGATTGATCTACGTCAAGTCGGGCACCTGGTTGTCCACAGAAATTCACAAACTTCGCGTTGCCTAGTAAAGTAATCAGGATATGGAGATCGCAGACTACTGGCCGAAACTCACATAAAAGCCTCATCAATCGAGCTGGAATCAGCAAACGTATCAGGAGCAATCAACTGACATCCCATGATCAGACTTACCAGCAATCCACACGGAGTGTTCACGCTCCTTGTTAGTACTGTCTGAAAAGACAATCAACAAACTCTCCTGCATCAGGGTATGATTCACCCTTGAGATGATCCACAAGGCCAAGCATACTTGCAACCTCACTTGGGGCAAAAGGTGCTAGGCACGTTTCAGAAGTGATGTTTTCTATTACAATGTCAATTGTATATGATATGAAACGCTTATTGATCTTTACTCACCTGCATGAGCATGCATGACAATTTCTTTGAGCGTTATGACAATGTCCTCTGGAAGGACGCGTTTGTTTGGAAATAGCTCAACATGTCTCCTGCCAACGTCACGGTATGTAAATCCAGTATCGCTGTAATAAAGGGTGAGCGCATTTACTTTGGTCGAGCGATGGAACATGCGTACATCTGAAGGCCATACGAACCAATACTGTGAATCTAATGCATACTCTGGGAGCGACACAATTACAGGAGCTCGAAGCGAAAGCCTCCCATGGAAAGAACTTACTGATGTGGCTTTTGCGCTCTACACCTCGAACATTATTTACAAGGTCAAAGAAGTTGTAGTCTTCGAACCAGAAAATGATACGTCTTTTGTGGTCGGCAAAGTAGTAACCCAAATATTCTTTGTCCCTCTCAACAATGAGCTCCAGTACGAGCTCGACGGACGAATCCAAGTGAATGTCTGCCCTCCGCATGCCTTCGTACGCCGTCACAACAGCTTTGTTTATTTTGACAGCAGTTATAGAATCTCGAACATTGGCATCAGTGAAAACTCTCTGGTGTATGACTTGAGTAAAGTCATGTACTAGGAGCAGAGGGTGGACACACTTTATCTGCCTGATAGAAGAATAATGCTCCTTCCGGGTGCGTGAGCGGCTCCCATCCATCTACTGCAGCAAGCTCCCTGCGGGGACATTTTAATCTCATCGCGGGCTCTCTCACCGGCATGCTTACTCTGAACAGTCCAAAGGACCTTTCTTAACCTCAAATGGCTTGTACTCGCTATTTCTGTGAGTATGGATTAAAACAGCAACTCACTCGACATAGTATAATTTGCGTACATGGGAATATGCCTTTCATATCGTTTGACCTGTGGTTCAGGTACAATGGGAGTTAGAAAGATATCAACGATCTGTCCTGGCGTCGTAGGAGGCGGTGACATGGCAACAGTCACGGGGATACTGGGCTCGGGCATAGGGATTGGTGGAAGCGGCACAGCAGAGCTCCCGGGAGATTGTGTATCATGAGCTGTGACACTGATATTTGGCACTTCGTAAGGCTCTGGAATTGGCATATGAAGGTTCATTCCAGGTTGGAATTCTTGAGTTTGCAAAGGCGCCTCTAGTAAGGGCACTGCAAGGCTCACAGAAGGTGTCGGCTCGGGTTGGTTCGCCACTGGCTGAGAGCTCAATGCCAAACCGGGCCCTTCCTTTCCATTCACGACAGATTGACAATGTCGGATCAGTCGCAGGAGAATAGAGAGGAGACTCCTGTACGATCGAAATGCAGTTGTTTTGATAATGACCCTCAACCAGGAGATGAGCATGCGAATGTATCCTTCCCGCATGACGACGGAGGTGACCGAGTGGAAAAGCTAATATGTCTTTGTCTGCTGACGGGCGAGAGAAGGTAGAGTGTTGAAGAGCGATAGCCTGCAAGGGATAATAGTAGGCACTAAGTGCACAAACAACCTTATGATGTGCTGGTTGTGCATGTCGTTGAGTAGTTAGATACATGATTACATAGCGCACTGCCAGTGGCGCCAATCATCGTCGGCTGCATCCGGGCGGGATACTTTACGGCACTCAACCCTGCATCATGATCACGCACTGGATTTATAGGCTCATCCTCACCCGGCACTGTCACTCCAATGGCCAAGCAGTCATAACCTAGTGTTCGAGAACGACTACGTATAAGCTGTAACTATGACATGGTGAGAGACCGGCATGAGTACAAGTGAATACCAAGTGAGCTACGTATGAAAGTCAAGAGTCCCATCCACAGATCGAATAAAGGAAACTCGATCATTGCCTTCGTATAATGATTATGTTTTGCATGATATCTTTCCAGTACTTGATGGCTCGCCTACCAACAACCGAGACGTGTAAATTATTAGCTGCTAAGACTGGCCATGTCGAGAGGAGAAGAACAACCGCCCATATGGGGATAACAACGGTCAATGCAACGATATCGGTAGTATAGAAGATCAGTATCGAGAGTGCGATTGCAAAGAAAATCATTCTGCAACATTCCTCGTCAATAGTGCGCATATCGCAAACTTTGGAACAACTTACCCCCAGATAAGGAGAGCAAATGGCAGGCTGAGCATCAAGGCGAGACTCTCGATGCCAAGGAGTGATTTGGACATCGAGGAAATGAATTTTGCCTATGTCGGTGTGAGCCCTGAGATGGGGCATTGGGACTACAGCTAGCGACGCACCACACTGTCAGCCGAGCTTCGTCTATTGTCGCTGACCTGACCCGCTAGGATAAGAGAAATCACGAGCGAGCCCATTGCACAAAGTGTGGACAGGTAAATCACAATCGTCACAGCTGGTTTTGACTGAACGGAGGGATCGTCTACTCCAGGAACTGTGAGGAAACTGACATCCACAGCAAGCATCACAGTTGACTGCCATCATAAGCAGGTCTGTAAATTCAAAGACCAACGAAGTACTTACAAACACAGTGAAACTGTTCCACTCGCTATTCAATTGGCTGATGAACTTCTTCCACCTAGGCTTGACCACGGTATTGTCCACCCAAATATTGTGAAGGGATTCGCTGTGAATCGCTGGAGAGTTGAACAGAACAACGTTCAAAATACGAATGAAGATGGGGTGGGGCTTCTTGCTGTTACTATCATATAACGATCGATCAGCATCAAGACGGGCACCAAGCTGCCCACAGAAATTGACAAATTTGGCCCGAACTAGTTCGGAGCGGCGTTATTTGGGAGATGAATGTAGGTATAAGCCACCCACAGAACATATCCAAGTATCGAGCTGTGGTTTGAGACAAATATATGAATATTCGACGAAGACTAGATTTGAATCTCATACCGACGATACAGACAGAGTGTTCGTTGACTTTTTCGATGTTATCTGCTTCTGATCAAGATGGATCTCGAAGATGATATTATTGATGGGCTGACCTTTCACTTGATCAACAACACTGAGTATGTTTGATAGCTCATCCAAGTCGAAGGGAGAAAGGGATGTTTGAGATGTGATTGATTCTGCCAGAGAACTCATTACGTAGCCAAAAGGTTGCATAGAGCACCATACCAGCATGAGCATAAGCAATGATATCTCGCAAACAATTCACTGTCTGTCTAGGGAGAGCACGCATGTTTGAGAACAGAGTGCAATGTTTCCTGCAGCATATAAGCGCAGATGAGTTAAGAGTGATACAATCAAAACCCGCTTGGATAAGTTTGATCACTATTTTTCGATAGAGGGTAGGTAATTACTCACCATACGTTGCTGGACGCACCAGTATTGCGCCTCTAATGCATATCCTAGGGTTTGAATATATCAAATCCCTAAATCGTCTCGATAAGTTAATTACACGCTCACTGATGTGATTCTTTTCCGAGACACCTCGTACATGGATCATAAGTTCCCTGGATCTGACAATCTCAGGCCAGAAGATAATCCGTGCTTCATGATCTACAAAATAGTATCCAAAGACGCCTTCGGAGAGCTTTTCGATAGCAAGCTCCATTGTCGCGCAAAAATTGCCACTCTCTGCTGCCATTCGATTGGCTTGCTCGGCTGCAGCCAGAATATCAAGTGCAAGGTCATTCTCCAAAATATTTTGATCGGTGAAGACTCTCTGTGGTGTCACATGATGAGTGGTCTGAACCATTTAATGATTCTTGCGCACCTGATGCGAGTTAAAGAAGAAGCGAGCGCCCTCAGGGTGAGTGAGCTGTAACCAGTTGGCAACTGGCATTGATGACCTGCAGAAATATGGTGATAAATTTCATTATTCAACCACAGTTTTCCTCACTCTGTAAAATTATTCGGCCCTGGGCTAACTTCAAACACACGGAAATCTTTACTTCTACCGTTAGTGTTAGAAATACTTTCGAGAAACGCGAGTACTAAAAGGGCATACTGAGTGATATTCCTTTCATACCTACCGATTTGCGATGCAATGATTGGGCGAAGAGTAATTGCTCCTGGTTGACGGACGTTAGGTACTGCCGAAGATGTCTGAGCAGAATAGGGTAGATGATCCATTGGCACCTGAGGTAATGGAAATGCCAAAGGACTCCCAACACAATGTTGAGAGGGTGCATCCTCCCTCTCGGGAGGGCGTACAGCAAGTGTTGTCACTGAGATCTGGTCTTGTGTGCCCCCAACAGCAGGCTGAGTAGCTCCCATAATTCTATCAACGTTGAGTATTTGTCTTTGTAAATGGCTATCATGGTTGTACGAAATCCCGTGCAGTAGTCGACGGAGGAATGTGATGACATGTCGGTGAATGCGGCACAGAAGGATCACCGATAACTTCAAGAGTTTGAGGTGTTTCACGAGCGTGACCAGTTTCCGCAATAAAGGCTCTTTGAGTGACAGGGAGGCCATGAGTAGACTCACTTCAACCAGTGGGGCTCAGTACTGTGGTCTTGGAGGGTTTGGAAAAAGTTGCTGTACTTCAAGAATCAAGTGTCCGGATTGTGACTGAAATGAAATGAAATTTCCTATTTGGCCATCTACGCTCACATAAGCTGCAGTGTTATTATGAGTCACGTGCAACACAAGAACTGTCACGGTAAGCAGTGATCATAAGTGGTCTGCAACTTACCGCCCACCCGCCTAGTGTAACAGAGCAAATACTACTAGCTGATCTTCGGTATTAGTACTGCTTGTGTACCATTCCGGTGGAGCTGCCGAAATAAAGACATCTTCTCCGTTCCGACTCGTTTTGATGGGTAAGATTAACTTCACGACCGACGAAGCCTCCATCCTCCAGGCCTATAAGTTATCATCCCAGAACCCGACGTACGTGGCAAATCCACTGTCTGAATGTACGAATAACCATTGTATAGTAAATGGGAAGATATAGATCATGACCTCGAAGATCCTCTTTCTGACCTCCTCACCTCACAATCCAACGATGGAGACGGTGACCCCTTGGGTCTTGGCGGCGTCATTGAGTATGTGTCATAGTTTAAGCCCACATCGGTGCTAACAACAATCACAGTCTGACGAGTTTGGATGCGGAATCGAGTGCGTGATTGTGTCTGACTTCAGCTAGGATTTCGGTCGTTCATGCGCTTCCAGAGATGTCTGTGCTGATCTCTTCTAAGTCATTTGATCCTAAAGCCTTTCTATCTGCTGTACACCCAAACGCAACATACCAAGATCTTGCAGCAGGCATTAACCACCTCCAGTCATCCATTGATGCCCGTTCAGAAGCTGTCCGTGTCCTTGTAGAGGATAACTTTGATCGTTTCGTTGCCGTCAAGGCTTCTACTGATGGTGCGTTATGTGTCATTTGTCTGCGGGTGCTGCAAAATAACTGGTACATGTTCGTAGCGTTATATGCGGAGATGCGTGAAGGATTACTGAGCGACAAGGCGGAATTTGCTACTAAACCGCTTGTAGACTATTTGAAACGTTGGTTCCAGTTCATCCCTTTCAGTTCAATTTTTGATACGCTTCGACATAGGCTCAGCTGTGAAGGCCAATCAAGTCTTCCTTCCTATCCTCGAGAACGGCGCGAAAACACAAAAGTTGCGCACTACACTCGGCGTTTTTGAGCGCTCCAAGTTCTTCTTCAGTCTCCCAGGATTTCTCGTGGAATCCATTGAGGCCGGAAGGTATGAAGCTGCATTGCGTCAGTACAACAAGGGGAAGTTTCTTCTCGACTCTCGCCCTGGGCAGCTCCTTCCCGTCGAGGCAGGTGCCGACGCAGGCTCTACGGCACAACAGAAGAGAATATTAGACAAGGTATGGGCGAACGTTGAAAAAGTGATGGGAGAGATGAAGGCGCTACTTTTGGCACGGTTGCAAGAACAAGGAAGGAGCGTTGAGGAAATGGAGAGAGGGATTGAGTACGTTTTCTCGTCATTGTTGTATGTCTCGCTCTCAATCAGACTGTCCAGGATTCTCCTGGAACTAAATGTGCCTGAAGACCCGATATGGACTTACTTTGATAGTCAGCATAAGCGCATCATGGACCGGATGAGTACTGCCTACAGGACTGGTGTTTCAAACATCGATGGCGCGTTCCTCTCGTGTTGTTGAGTACTTTTCATGCTGACATACATCATAGCCACAAATTCTCGCACTGCACCTGAACTGTCGTCTCCGAATGCGCTCAGACAGATCCTTGGTGCGCAACTCCAAGTATGTATCGTAGCGCTGGAGAGCAAAGCTCCCGAAGCCGTAATTGGTGCGCTATCATATCCCTTCTGTCAAGTTATTATTCATTTTCATTCCTGTCATATTTAGCGCAAGCAGGTGGTCATGAAGTGTGGCAGGTTATCTGGGACATGGTGAAAAACGTTTCCGAAATTATGGTCTCTTCGTTGCCCAACTTCTGGAAAATCGCAAGGAGCTTCTTGGAGGGGAAGTTCAAACGAGTTCGTGTCATTTTTGCGGCCATATCACTTTTCTGACGTTTAATCTTTCCGCCAGCCATCGTCGTCGAGGCGCAGTGCCTCCCAATGCAGGCAAATGGCACTAGATATCATCAAGCTCTATATCAACTTCATCTCGGAATTTTTTATTCTTTCTGATGTCCTATCAAACTCCCCTACCCCCAACTCTCCCGAGCATCTTCCGTCTCATTCAAATTCGCTAACGACGGCTCACTGGCTGACCAAGATCCTTAGTGAAGTACAGGATTGTATCACAGAGATTGGCGCATTGGAACTTGGAGAAGGCGGTCTGGTGAAAGGGTTGGTGGAGAGCGTGCGGTGGCGTTTTCAAGATATCCTAGTGAGATCTTGGTTGCGAGGTATGCGTTACTTACAATGTTCTACTATCCCTCGTGCATCTATTAACCAATTATCCCAGACGCAAACTACCTGTATGCGCTCGAATCATTCACTCCCGATGTTTCCGCTCCTTTCACAACGCTCTACCTCGCTAATCTCGAATCGTTCATGCGCCACCTTGCAACGTCAGCATTCAAAATCGCGGGTGGTATCTCGACAGACAGTGGATCAGGCGTGTTGCGGGCAACGCAACAGAATACCGTTCCACCAGCATTTGTATCGAAGATCACGAAGGCATTTTTTGACGCAATATATGCGGTTCTGGATGGATTTCTTGTGCTCGTCACGGAGGAAGCGCCACCAGGTGTGGGCACCATCGTGGCAGCGGGAATACCCGAGGGAGAAGGGAAGCAGGAGCTGATTGATCTGCGCGACTCGGTGCGTAGTTTTGTGTGCTCCCCAATTCTGGCCCCTGACACAGTCATGTGTTAAGAATACGAGGCTGCTCCTCGTGATATCTAATTTCTCACATTTATCAGGATCATTGATACCCAGTATGTTATCTCAACTGGAGAATGCGCTCAGCATATCAGTCGAGGATGATAGAAAGGTGTTTATTCGAATTCTCCTACTTGCGTTGCCTTTCATGCTCACGTTATGACGTAGACATTAATGAAAGCAGTGACTGCGCTCGACAAGACGCTTTTTGATGGATATGTCAAGCCCAAGGCTGCCGCCGTCGCAGTCATCTTGCAAGAGGGCATTCTCGACAAAGACATGGATTGGTACGAGACGCCACAACCTACGGGTGAGCTTGTCCACTTGACTTGTTGCTACCTACTCTGACATTCACTGCAAGAAATTCGACCATATATGTACAAGGCCTTGATGGGCCTTGTTGAGATTCACGCGCAAATAAGCCGTGTCGCAGAGAATCTACTCGAACGTGGGATGTACGCGCTTGTAGAGAACGTCGCTCAAGATGCATTGCTCTCATTCAAACAAGTCAAGCGGTTCGGCATGGGCGGTATGCTTCGCGTAAGTCACATTCTCCTTCTGTACAAATTACATTATCGATAAGACGATATCTACAGGCTACGCTAGAGATCGAGTTCATGCACCAAACGCTTGCTCGCTACGTGTCTCCGTCAGCCGCGAAGACGCTCTCAGAGTTGTATAACAAGATCTCGCAGGCATATGCACGACGGCCTGGAGATGAGAATTTACAGGGGAATCTGGACAGTGTGAAGAGGACGTTGGCGGAGAGTCGGCGTGCGACTGGGATTGAATTTATGTGCTTTAGAGCGGCCAAGGACAAGAGTGGAAAGGCGAAGAAGGAGAAGGACGAGGGTAGGGAGCGGGGAAAGGACAGAGGGAATGACAGAGAGGGCAGAGCTGACAACAGTACTTAGATTGGATCTCCGATACTTTGATGACATTCAGTGCGACTTGAGACTCAATCGATTTGACTGTTCACCACCCTCTGAAGCTCCGATACAACTGCGATACACACACTACCTGGTTCATGTAGAGTTTGACTAGCTCAGTCGAAATGTATCTCGGAGGAAGTTCATTGGGATTGAGGAATATAAAGTTCATAGTACGATGTAATGATGATGGGATGATACTACAGCAGGATACTACGGTGATGTCAAATAAACGATAGGTATGCGAGAACACTCGATACTAGAGCCCACCACGAAGACGTAGCACAAGGTGAAGGGTACTCTCCTTCTGGATGTTGTAATCCGACAAAGTGCGACCGTCTTCCAACTGCTTCCCAGCAAAGATCAGACGCTGCTGGTCTGGTGGGATACCCTCCTTGTCCTGAATCTTCGCCTTGACATTGTCGATGGTGTCTGATGACTCCACCTCTAATGTGATCGTCTTACCCGTGAGGGTCTTGACGAAGATCTGCATACCGCCACGAAGACGGAGAACGAGATGGAGGGTAGACTCCTTCTGAATGTTGTAGTCGGAAAGGGTGCGGCCGTCTTCGAGCTGCTTGCCTGCGAAAATGAGGCGCTGTTGATCGGGAGGGATACCCTCCTTGTCCTGAATCTTCGCCTTGACGTTGTCAATGGTGTCGGAGGACTCCACCTCCAACGTGATCGTCTTGCCCGTGAGGGTCTTGACGAAGATCTGCATACCACCACGTAGACGGAGAACGAGATGAAGGGTGGACTCCTTCTGGATGTTGTAGTCGGAAAGGGTACGGCCGTCTTCAAGCTGCTTGCCGGCGAAGATGAGGCGTTGTTGGTCAGGGGGGATGCCCTCCTTGTCCTGGATCTTCGCCTTCACGTTGTCGATGGTGTCAGAAGACTCCACCTCCAACGTAATCGTCTTGCCCGTGAGGGTCTTAACGAAGATCTGCATGCCTCCACGGAGACGCAGGACCAAGTGAAGGGTAGACTCCTTCTGGATATTGTAGTCGGAGAGTGTTCGACCATCCTCAAGCTGCTTGCCAGCAAAAATGAGACGCTGCTGGTCAGGTGGAATACTGCAGACACAACCATCAGCTGCAAGTGGCATTGACCAGGATGTATACATACCCCTCCTTGTCTTGGATCTTGGCCTTGACGTTATCGATGGTATCAGAGGACTCGACCTCAAGAGTGATGGTCTTGCCAGTGAGCGTCTTCACGAAAATCTGCATTCTGTGACTCAACGTCAGTCTCGTGTATACAGAAGATTAGAACGGTCAAAAACTCACGCAAAGGAGATGGACTATGGAGTGTACAGGAGTTTGGAGTAGTTTGTGAGGGCGATTGTGAGGAAACGCCTAGATAACGAGTCATTATATAATGGGAGTTGGCGGAGTTTAAACATCCAGCCACCTGTGACAGTTCCCCAGAAGAACGCTCACTAAGCACCTTACTGGATCCTTCTGGAGGCGTAGGGCAGTATCCACCGCATGTGTGGCACAGGTTTCATCAAGGCTATGATCGTACGTAACAAGTGAAACGCAGAGTGCTAGAAACTAAGATCCTTGTCGGCGCCTCCAGAGTCTAGACTCTAAAGTGCATCAACTCTAGCATGTTCGTCGGGTTTGGGAATCACCCAAGGGGTCCCGCTCGAGGGAAAACCATTTTAATCGCGAGCACAGCAGACTCTCGTACCAGTATTGAAACATCGTCATAGTATATTAGGATGGATGGTAGGGCCGTAGACCTGGTTGGGCAAGAGCTCGTTCGCAACGGCGGAGAATCTGACAACCTTGAGGGCTGAACACTATCGATAACACCCAGCCTTTTTTTCTTCGGTTTTGTGCGGTTATCATGATAATTCGAATCCGAAGGACCGAATCCATCGTGACCCGTCGATCAGCTGAGACTACTATAACCACCGCCGTGTGTAACTTGTGAAAAGACTTGCGCGTTGTTGACGGGGCAATCGAGACCTTGCGCTTGGATCGGCTGATTGTTTTTTTTCCGTGCGAGATCTTCGGTGCATAGCATTATTTTGGGATGGGCAGCTGATCAAGTCTGTGCTCATGAGTAGGAATTGATCAGTACTCGCGACTGTGGTGGCGGGGAGGGATATGAATGCTGCAAGGGACGATGGGACTTAGAGTGCTCGCAGCTCAGCGAATGTTTGGGCAGTTACCTTGACCGGCCTTCAAGTTAGCCCGGTGATCTTCGAATCCGCATAACCATTTCAAATTTGGTGCCCAAGCTACGACATATTCACAAACTGATTCAAATTCTTTTGCCATAAAGCTTTGAAGAAAGAAACATAATGTACAAATTTCTGTCCTTTCAATATGATATCCTGTAAGTCGGGTCTCACATTCAAGATCTGTCACATGTCACCTCTGTCATAAATTCGTGCTTCGGGTGATGTGAAGGACACGACGGGCGCAAGACGCTGAGAGACAACGGTTAGCTCAGAAGCGACGTTATTGAGTTCTGTCCCTCCGTCTGGTTTTGCTTGGCCGATGCCAACAAAACGTTGCGTGGATGCATCTCGAGAAAGTTGCTGTCTCGTACGAATGAGTGCCATCGATGTTGGGGTGTAACAGGAGATATATAAATGGGATAAATAGTGGTTCTTCTTCTCGTAGAGTCCCGCTGCATATAGAAGTAGTGTGAACTCAACAGTGGGATGCATGAACCGGGTTGCATCATGTATCGAGAGCTTAAACTACAGGGCAAACAACATTATTCCAGAGCTCGTGTAGGATGTTGACAATTTCAAGTAATTCGAGTTTAGGATCGGACGAACAAAATTCCTTTGTGAGGGACTGGAATATTTCCGAGACATCGGCTCGTGTGATATCAAGTGGAACGTGGATAGGATCTTAGACACTTGTGATGATCAAGGCATCAATTATCGTGGTTGTAGTTGCTTGCGTTGACGACGATGACTGGACCATCTTCTACCGTCTGCTGGAGGTACGCCAACAGCGAAGGCAGGAGGAAACGGGAAAAATGAGGTAGCGTGCGGATACGTGAGATGACATCATCCTATTGCACAGTCATCTGTCGGATGTGTTGGGACTGATCTTCAGTAGACCCATAGAACGTGTTGTAAAGGCGAAGGCTGAGCTGCTTGAACTCTGCTGCCAAGGTTGCACCAGCGTCACCAGACATGGAAAGTTTATCCAGTGGTATGCAGAAGTGCTCCAACTGGGTCCAAAATACTCCACGACCTTGTTCCACCAGTTCGACAGCAGTAGTGAAAAACCATTGCGAACACTGCACGAAAACACATCCGTTTGCAAAGGATAATAAATCTATCTTCATCACATCGAAATGGCGTGAGAAGGACGACAGAGCGGCAACGCGCAGCGAGGAATCTTAGGACAGTTTGATGGGCGAGTAAGGCAGAGCCGTGGTGGAACTGTTCCGCAGAGGTAGCCCATGACTTGGCAGCATCAATATTACTAAGAGAGACTGTATGAGATACTTGTGAGGGTTGTGAATAAAACCTGAAAGCCTCGTCCAAAACTGGCGATAGACCTAGCTGTTCGAATTTTGACACAAAAGTTGAGAGCCAGCCCCTGGAGAGACGCGAATCGATAAGAATGGCCAGGGGGATGGAGCTCCAATGCAGCCCGATGGAGCTCGATGGCCTCATCAAGGTCGGTCAGGACGCCCCGTCGCCAGAATCTAACTTGAAGACAAGATTGTCGATAAACTTGGATCAGTGGGGACGACTTTTGGGACAGCTCCGCAACGCCACTCGCCACCTCTCTACATCGTCTTTATTGCAGAAATCGGAACTTTGAGATAGTGAGAATCTGTGAGGAAAATCTATGCCCGTACATTGCCCGGCGATGAGTCCTCGACTAATAACCATTGGGAGCAAATACATATAATCATAAACTGCAAATATTGGCACCGGTGTTGCAGTGAAGTGACTTCGAGGCCAGCCCAGGGCTACTGGCACCGTGATACGTATGGGCAAGTTGTGCTTGGGTCTTTACGGACGTGCTGAGAACGTCGCCAAGAGGCGAGCCGTCAGCGCTCGGAGCCTGCCGCTCGTGGTGAGCGCGTAACTCGAATGGTAATCACGGGCTTGAATAACTTAAAGGTCGGCGTTGACATGTTTTTGGCAGAAGTGGCGTATTCTTAGTCTGTGTAGACGTCAATACGCCAAACCGACGTCCTACGAGGATGTTGTTTGTTGTTGTTGTTGTTGATGGAGATATTTGTCAACTAGCAGGTCGAATCATTCACTGATCTCTTCCAGGTGATTAATGTTTGATGTCGCACAGCGCGAGGATGACTCAAAGCTCTTAGAGATTATGTTCCCCGCATGATGCACGACGCAATCGTCCAGAAAACGCTCAATAGATGTTTGCAGCATACGCAAGCCACGCGGATTTGACGACAGGTTCAACAGTCGGAAAATATCTCACCATGGTGACATGGTCACTCCTGCCGAGGATATGAGGTTGAGTTCTGTAATGTTTGCTTATCAGACCACATTGACATTCCTAGATCACCGTGTTTCTCTTTTGTTGTCTTCTGTGGGACTGATCCAGCAAGGTCGTGTATTCTGGACCGAGTTAACATGGTTCCACATACTACTCGATGAAATTTTCATACCAGGTAGCACTGGCTCAGTCTTGGCTGAATGGTTCAAGCAACTGAGCTTTCGCGTAACGTGTTCTATCACTAAAGACCAGTTCCCGCACATCCAACAATTGACCCTGCCACGGGATGATACCGCCTGCATGCTACCTCGTCCAAACGGCTCGCGTCGTGTACCTTGGATTTGAATTGGTGAGTGCCGTTTGCGCTCTGAATGCCTTTTTCTTTGTAGAGAGCGATAACCACGTTGATCACACGTTTCCATGGTTGGATTCTCAGAATTACTGGAGACCAGGCGAACGAATCGTTCAGCTCAGAGCAAGCTTCAGGGTCACAGGCACACATGCGAATAGACTCATATTTGGCCTGGAAAGTATCTTGGAATAGCTCAGCACGTTTGGCTATTCAGATCCCACATATAGCACCCGAGTTGGCATCGTTCCTCTCGATTTCCATATTTTCGAGCTAATCTCAGACTATCGCCAGACGTGCAGCGTGAAATATGTCCTTCGTTCTCAGGCTGACCATATTACGATGCACTCCAGGACTAGTTATTTGGTTTAGACAAGTGTTTTTTAAATTCGCTAAACTAGTAGTAAGTGTAAGAGTATAATAATAATGATAAAGTTAAAACGGGTGGAAGATATCCTGCAAACATTGTGATTCGAATGCTAATAATTTGGACGTGGATGTGGCACCATATACCAGAACCCTACTATTATGGATTCTTACTGTTCATATCACTGCTGCTGCTAGTAGAAGCTGAGTTGTGATGGAAAGTTGCATGCAGAGTTGTTTGAGTGATGTTAGAGGCCATGTCTTTTGACCACGCAACCCCTGAAGCGATCCTTAAAATGATGAGCTGGGGTGTCAAAACCTAGCGAAGTATTAGTGTATGACAGCTCATCGTAGTAGTGCAAGCGAACGTACCACGAAGGCTGCCCAGACTATTTCTACCGCCGTCGCACTTGGGATACCTTGGATATAGGTGGCGAAGCATGCGATTCCCAGAACTGTGAAAGGGAGGGCAGACTCCACCAGAATTGCCATAATGCCCGTGTAAAAAATTCTCTGTTCATCGTCAAGAACAGATCGTACTCTGCGATAAAAGAATAGTAGTCGGGAAAAGATTAATGTAGTCACAATTATGTTAAAGCTGACAGTTAACGCGACCCATGAAATGCCGAATTGTGCGGTAAGGCCCTGCCATAGACTTGACATTGGCATAGCACTCTCAATCACCATCATGACAGCCATAGCTGCACAGAGCCATGGTCACTTTAGTACAGGATGGACAACGTAGCACGTACTGGCAGATCCCAGGTATATAATTGCAGGGATGACGATTACTGGCAATCTTGACTCCCAAATAATGTAACAGCGATAAAGCTTTCATGATCATGATATATATGAGTATTGAAGCTCAATAACGATATTATATATATGTTGTAAACTCACCAAGAGTCCGTCCGTCATCATATTTGCGAGGGACACTGCCGAAGTGCCAAAGACATTGTACCAAGCGGCCAAATTTGAAGCAAAAAATGCAGGAGGGCCACCAGGGTAGTTTCGCCTTTCTATCCACATTAGTTCACAGAAGGCGTTGTTACTTGCGATACTGATTGTCAAAAGAAGCAAGAGAATGCCTCCAAAACATATGTAGAATATCCTGTGCTGCACTTGCTTGATCTCGGAGGTCCTACTAGTAAGCAGGTAGGTAGAGTAAGCATATAGGAATAAATTTCCTCCTGTGCCCGGGGAGTACGAGGTGTCAACAAGAGACTATTACTCATATGATAGAAGTTCACCATAAACGGCTGTGGAAATGGTATTCCCAACATACATAGCACGCTCCGTAGCAAGTTCGGTGGACGCCATGAGGGATACGGAAGGAGACACTGTGGGTTGGTTGATAGGACGATCACTGGCTATCAGCGTTTCAGCTGCATTAATATATAAAGCAACAATACTTAGTTATAGGATCACGGCAGAAAACATTTCTGGTCCACGGCGAAGCTGGAAAGACTGGTAGATTTGATGGCACCACACACTGTTTACGTTATGTTTATTCCGAGTCGCGACCCCGGCTCGATACAATCATTCCTTTGTGTTTCAAGTTAGGTCGCGACTGGATCTCTTGTGGACTACAACACAACAACCAGGGACCCAAGGCAGCGAGCAGTTGATTTACTCACTGCCATGTGCCGCATACAATCAGCCCATGGTCGTGTTCTTCAAGTTCTAATACAACAGTTAACCTCTCTGTTGAAAGTGTCGCGAACATGAAAATAAGACCAATAGACTGGTAAATACCACTTCACCTCAAAATCTTCTGTTCCTTTTCCAAATCATGTATTAATCTCCCCGGCCATCTCTTGCTCTTACTCTGGCGCCAATTTGCTGCATCACAACCCTCGCCATTTCGGATACCTTCGCAGCGATTCAGAGTTTCAAAGTGTTGATCTTGGTGAAGTTGATGGTGGCGTTCTGAACACGCTAGTTGCCAGTATGCCCGAAACCGTTGTGATGAAGGAACTGACTTCAGATGGTTTCAAACTTTCATATCAATTTCATATCAACTTTTAGAAGCGTGTGTAAAGTCACGCTTTCACAACAGGTTGTAAGCTTACCTCATAATCCTGTCCGCGATAATCAAAGCGTGCTTTGATTTGGCTTTGATTATCCCTGCCTTTTGGCCGATTGTCGCCTTTGCAAGGGCAAATTCTCTTGTGCTTCGCAAATCGTCCATCTGCCCTCTATCGGAACAACATGTCAGCTGACATCAAGGAGGTAAGTACTTACATTTGATCTGAGAACACACGACTGACGCAGTGCTCTAGGAATACAAGAAAAAGATTGCGGCGCGGGTGAGTATGACGATTCGCGCCTGCTCTACCTGGTGAAATTGCCGAGAAGACCATGAGACGTCATCTACGTACATGAAACTCATATGGGTGACATTGTATCGTTTTCACCGGACTAATCAAACCTTAGATTTGGTATTTGGCTGTTTCACCATCATGCGATACTTATCGCATGATGTGATGTTGAAACTTGATGGATTTTACGTCACGTTTACGTGCCATCTGATACAATGCCCGTGTGCCCGAGTCCTAAGTCTATTGTGAGAACACTGATCAATAACGATCCTGTACCAGGAAGGAACAAAATAGATGATTAATAACTTTTAGTACGTGGAGTTATCTTTCGTTGTGCCACATACCATTAACAACTTTCCGTACAAGCTGGCTATTGTTGATCAGTTAACAGGTATCTATCATCACCGTTGCTTGTCACGTAGCTCAAGGATGCCACAGAATCTCAGTTGGATGAATCGGTCATGATATGTACCAGAGGTTATGTCGATTGTAAGATAGCCTTCAAACTATCAACAGGCATAGTCGCGATGTCTTCCAATCCAGCTCCATTACTTCACGTCGTGACCGGTGGGAACAAGAGTCTCAAAGGGCCATTGTTCTGCGCGATGATCAGGGCCTGCCTACTAGCCGGAAGAGTATACATCGCAATAGTCATTGATACAGGAGTTATTGCTGGATTAGCTCTCTGGTTTCCTCCAGGGAAAGTTCTTTGGAAAAAGTCAGTTGTAATTTTTGCTGGTCACGCAAATTTGCTCACCATCAGGAGTGATGCGCAGAAAAACCATGGCTTCAACCACTTCTTGGAGTCTCTGTCATCCAAGACCAGAGAATGGCAGACTACCACTGTAAGTAGCACTGATTCTTACTGTTCTTACCGTTGATGTCTATCAAAGTATGGTTCTGCATTGGCCCCTTTCATCAAAACGGCGCTGTCTCATGTGCGTCCAATCCTGTCATCCAAATTTTTCTTCGAATTATTTTCAGACTGTCGACAGCTCCTGGAAGCTGTATTGACAGGTCTGTCACGGCAGCGGCAGTTCATGCGTGAATGCGTCAGAGCACTTACTGGCGATTTCATACCCACCGGCAAATGTTCTTGAGTGTACTTCCAACGTCTACATCAATCTTTCCTAACCATAGAAGAAAGAAGGTCGAGAACCACCAGTTAGAGGGCTAAAGACGGTTCTGAATCTGGGAAATCAATGCCCTTGAAAGGACACTGAGCAGAATAGACTCAGTGAGTCTTCAATTTGAGTTCAACAACGAGTGTGGTATCGTAGTATATGACGCACACCCGGGCCATGCAAGGGACTGAAATAAATAAACGAGGGCAGCGAATCATCTGAGTCTATGTAAGAGACCAGGGGAAAGAGGCAAAACGAGGGTAGGTACGTGAAATTAGTATTATGGTAAGTAATGTACACAGATGTAGCGAATGTGGGCTGAATAGGTATACTCTATATTTGACAATCTGGTTGACGGCGATGGCCATATTCGTCTACTGGCTTGAAGGAATTGATGGAGCATTGAATATATCGATGATGCCTGTCATTCGGTGATTCCACAAGCCTTGTCACCCACGACTACCGAAAATCCCCCTCGTTCGGTAAGAGAGACCACAGGTTCCAGAGCAGGGAGATTGCCTATTCCGATTCGGGGTGTTTCGGCTGTCTCTGCAACTTGCTCAATAGACAGAATAAGATATTCGTCTTGCGGCGAGACTGCATTTCCTTTGTCTGCTGCAGCTCTGGGCTGTGTGCTTTGGCCCATGTAGAACATCCAAGCTAACTTCAGAGGTTAGCATTATCGGCTGAGCGAGAAACGACTCGGATCTGAACCGAGCCAGGGTGAGCCTATAATTCAATCACGTTAAAATTTTCCTGTATTCATACCAAGAACACTTACCTAAAGCAAAGTAAGTCGATCCTGTTCAAAATAAAACCCAAAGTGACACGTCGAGAAACCCGTTGGGCAGACAGCAACAGTGTAAGAATGATTCGTGATAATGTCTCCATCGCCTTGTGTGAAGCACATCTGAGCCAGCCGACCAAGCCTGCGGATGAGACGACCTGGTGAATTGCAATTGTAGACATTATTAGAATGTTCCAGGCGAGGGATGGCTCTATTAAAGTCCCGGATGTGTACGTAGAAGGAACCCCCTGCAGGGAGTTCTTCCAGTCTTTGTCCGGATTCAGGAGCACGATACTGAGGCAGAGCATGTGGCATTTTGCTGCCGAACACGATGATTATGCCATGGCTTGGATGATGCGAAAAGCAGCGTGCGTGCGTACTTGGGTCCCCACTCTGACTGTGTGGCCTTTGTTACAAAAATGGCCATATCGACGACTAGAATCACCTGCCATGAGCGCGACAGGACCTCCAAAACCATGATTTGCGACTCTAGAGATGACACGTAGTCAGGCCGGGCTCACAATGCCAACAACTGCTGTTTCTTCAAAACGGAATTCAAATGGAAGTCAGACTGCCACATGGATGCCAATTTCTTGAACGAATGCATTTTGCTAGAAGTGTCGACCCAGTCCGGAGTCTCCATGGAGTCCTGAGCATAAAGTTCTAATACGCATTAAATGTCGGCGAAATTCTGGGCCATATGCCAAAAGGTTTTGCAGGCCTAGTGTAATTCAAAAGTCAGCACATAGGAATCATAAAACCACGTGAAAGAACGGACTAATACACAGCATGAAAGGTCTTTGAAGTGAAGGAGGAGAATATGACTGTAGGAAGCGAGAACATCGAACCGGCCGGCGCACACATGTGATATTCCCAAGGGTTATGGTGTGGTACTGCTCTATCGAGTCGAAACGTGACAGGGGAGAATTTCACATTGAAACATTCCATAAACACCCGTGGTAAATGTATGAGATTGTTGAAGCTTAAGCTTAAGCTTCGAAATTTGAACATTTGAACGTTGAACAACGCTTCAGAATTACATGACAAATGATTAACGAAGTCTTACTGAAATGGCAGCAGATTTGCAAACGAGAGCGGGAGCAATTTTCTCGATACGCGTGACGCGACGCGTCTTTTGCTTCTTCCTTCTATTATCAAGTCAAAATTTAGTAGCATGGCTCTCATGTATGGGAAGGAAAAAGATGCAGAGCATGAATTGAGTGAGTCTTTCATTGCTCAACGATAGAATTTTAATTCTGACCTGAGACCAGCCTCTGATCCCGGTTTCGTTTCCTTCTTTTCCAAACTCCCAAAGAAATCTCCTGAAACTGGAACGATCCGTCTATTTGATCGCACAGACTACTACTCTGTCCACGGGCAGGATGCTCACTATGTCGCAACACACGTCTTTCGTACTAACTCCGTCCTCAAGTATCTAGGTACTGGAGGCAAGGCTGGTGGTCTTCCGAGCGTCACGCTCAGCCACACCCTGGCTCACTCGTTTTTGCGAGATGCCCTCACATCTAAACAGCTGCGCGTAGAAATATGGGTGCCTGCACCTGGGCAGGGAAGGAAAGCTTCCAAATTCATTTTGGAAAAAGAGGTGAGCAAGTAATGTCGTCCCTTTATAGTCATAATCAACCATTCGAAAGGCATCACCTGGAAATCTCCAAGCTGTTGAAGACCTTCTCTTTGTCAGCTCCGATGTTACATCGGCACCTATCGTTTTAGCTGTCAAAGTATCATCATCGTCAGTCATGAACAAAGCCAAGACCAAGTCAATCGGCATTGCCTTCGCGGATACCAGTGTGAGGGAGTTTGGGGTTGCTGACTTCATTGACAACGATCTTTTCTCGAATCTTGAGGTGGGTTTACTAGTTGCAGACCGTCATCGCCATCTCCTCACACTGGAGTAGTCTCTTGTCATACAACTTTCGGTCAAAGAAGCCATTATTCCCACCGGAACAGTATCTGGGACAACGGACCGCGACCTCGACTTGAGCAAGCTAAAAGCCGTGTTCGAGAGGTGCGCCGTGGTTGTGACCGAACGTAAACCAAGTAAGTCAACATTTATGCGATTTCTTAAGTCCATCTAATTCCAGGTCCTAGGCGAGTTTACTCCAAAGCATGTGCAAGACGACGTTAAAAAATTAACGATCGATTCAGAAACGGATTCAGACTCTGCTGCTTCGATTCGTGGGTTTTGATATCTAAACTGCATAAACAACACTCACAATATTATTTAGCTGAGCTCTCCCTTCCTTCAGCCCCGTCTGCACTTTCTGCCTTGATCAACTATCTTTCTCTCCTTGCTGATCCCTCCAATCACGGGGCATACAAGTTACGAACACACGATCTAGCACAATATATGCGCTTGGATGCTAGTGCATTGCGTGCACTGAATCTGATTGACGCCCCTGGGAGTGCTGTAAGTCATTTAAGATGCAGTTCACACTGATATCTTCCCTGCTAACGGTCTCCCTGTAGGGAAGTATCAATAAACACTCAACCCTCCTTGGTCTGCTAAATAAATGCAAGACTGCTCAAGGAACTAGGCTTCTCGGGACATGGCTTAAGCAACCCTTGGTAAATCTGCACGAAATACGTACGCCCGTTTTCTTACTTCACTTGATGTAACAAATCTTTAGCCTTGCAGGTAAACGACAAGACCTTGTGGAGACATTTGTAGATGATGGATCTTCTCGGAGAATACTGCAGGTTAGTACCATACCCTTTGTCAAAGGGCGTCACTTATTTTCATTCCACAGGATGACTACTTGAAGCTGATGCCTGACCTCCACCGACTCAGCAAACGATTCAAGAAATCTATCGCATCTCTTGAGGATGTTGTGCGTGTATATCAAGTGGTCCTCAAGGTACTTTGCTTCGATTCCCGGCCCTCAGTGTTACTTACTTTACCCAACTAGTTGCCCAGTTTGCTTGAGACCCTCGAAGGTGTCCAATACGAACACGAGGAGCACAAGGAACTGATCGATGAAGTTTACATCAAACCTTTCCAGGTGCGCATGTCATAGATTCATTGAATTACATTATCACTGCTCCCTCTAACACTTGCTGTTACCAGACTGTCAACGAGAATCTCGTCAAATATGGCGAAATGGTGGAGTCAACGCTAGATCTCGAAGAACTCGAACATCATAATTACGCGATCAAGCCTGACTATGATGAGCGTCTGCAGGTTCTGGCAGATAAACTTGTGGAGGTTCATATTATGTCTATCAGAATAATGGCGAACAGGACTGACGTTTTCTCAGATCCGGGACGGTCTTGATGCTGAACATCGTGCGACCGGCAAGGATCTCGATCTCGATCTCGACAAGAAGTTGCACCTCGAGAACTCCCAGAATTATGGATACTGCTTCAGGTTGACGAAGAACGTACGCTTCCCGTACTGCGGGATGCCATGAGCTCACATACCCATCAGGACGCGAAAGCCATCATGCGGAACAACAAATACATTGAACTCGGAACTGTCAAGAGCGGAGTCTACTTCACGACCAAGAAGCTGAAAGCACTTTCCACGGACCACCAAGAGGCTACGCATGAATATCAGCGAACGCAGAGCGGGTTGGTGAAGGAAGTTGTCAGCATTGCATGTAAGATACTCCTTTCACCACGACTTTCGCATTCACAGATGCCTTTTCCTTTGTACAGCAACATATACGTCCGTACTCGAGAATCTCGACCACATCATTGCACACCTGGACGTTATTATCAGGTGAGCCCCGCGGACTGGAGCTTGCACATGTGGTAACGATCATTCAGTTTCGCTCATGTTTCTGCAAATGCTCCTGAGCCATACGTGAAACCAAAAGTCTCGGAGAAAGGCAAGTTTTGGAAATGATGTTCGACGCAGGAATTGATCAACGCACGTCAGGTTCTAGCGGCTTAATATTACGCGACGCGCGACACCCTTGCCTCGAAGTTCAGGACGATATAAGCTTCATTCCAAATGATGTGGAAATGGTGAAGGGTAAGGTTTATGGCACTGTCACCGTTACATGTCTCATGTGCTTATAGGCGAGGGTGAATTTCAGATAATCAGTAGGTGCTGCTCCTATACCGTTTTAACAGAGCTAACCTACCGAAAGCCGGTCCAAACATGGGCGGAAAGAGCACGTATATTCGTCAGGTGCATCAGCTATGTCATCATTCACAAACGTCATTCTCAACCTGCCTCATAGGTTGGAGTCATTGCTCTCATGGCACAGACCGGATGTTTTGTTCCTTGCTCGGAGGCAACATTACCGATTTTCGATTCGGTGCTTTGCCGTGTGGGTGCAGGTGACAGTCAGCTGAAGGGTGTCTCGACTTTCATGGCCGAGATGCTTGAGACTGCTTCGATCCTCCGAGTAGGTGGCATCTACACAAATCTTTCCTCAGTCTGACTGTCGTGCACTGTTCAGTCTGCTACTCAAGATTCTCTCATTATTATTGATGAGCTCGGCCGCGGTATGTCTTCTGTTGTACGATGGGGCACATTTTGTCAATATTTGCCTTATCTTCAGGAACTTCAACGTATGACGGATTCGGCCTGGCATGGTCTATATCTGAGTATGAGAACAATATTTATTTCCTGAAGTCATAGTCTGACGGCACCTAAAGGCATATTGCATCCCACATCCGCGCTTTCTGCCTGTTTGCTACTCACTTTCACGAGTTGAACTGCCCTCGACCAGGAGCTTCCTCACGTGAAAAACCTCCACGTCGTAGCTCATGTGAACCAAGAAGATGCATCTGCGCCGCGTGAGAAGGATATCACGCTTTTGTACAAGGTCGAACCAGGTGTGTTTCGATGTCTCAACCAAACCTTTTTCTCTGAAACTTTTGGATGAAGGCGTTTCGGACCAAAGCTTCGGTATCCACGTTGCGCAACTTGCCAACTTCCCCGAAAATGTGGTCAAAGTCAGTTCTGAATAGAACTGTTCTTATAATGTCCGCTGACCGTGTTCTAGCTCGCAAAACGGAAAGCAGATGAACTAGAAGATTTCGCAACTGGTAATTGTTACAAAAAAATGTCAGGAATCTGTCGCGCTGATGTTTGCTGAGCAGGACAACAATCAGAACCCGAGCATTCGGACGAAATCACCGAGGAGGGCATCCAAATCATCGAGGAGTTACTGAAAAAGTGGGCCTCCGAGTCTTCAGCTGATGATGAGGACGTCATGATGGACGATGTGTCACACGAGGCTCAGCTAGCTGAACTGCGGCGGTGTGTCGAAGAGTTCAGACCACGCATAGAACAAAATGCGTGGGTACAGTCTCTGCTCACGTCTTTCTGATCTCTTGCTATCTTATTTCCTTGTTATCCTCGCTATCATTGCTCTGTATACCATACATAATCAAACTGCACTGGATCATTTATTACTGTCGCATCTTCCGCATTTGCGTCCTCGCCTTCAACGTGATTGGGGGAACTTTAGAGTCCAAGATTCCGTGGTGCAACTTTTCATTTCTGTGGGTTCTACTTAGCTATTGCTAGACCCTGGACTAGACGCCTTTGCCACCGGCTACAGCGATAGGCCTACAGCCGTACACGATCAAAAGGCATGGCTTGCTCATTATTGGTGGACGATACTATCCCTTCCACTGCAATCGGCACCCCACAGAAGTCGGCAGTCACGCAAATGTCACTGTGAGTCATGATATGTCACGTAGGCCAATTTTAAAGTCAGTTCGGCAGTCAAGCAAGTGGGCAAGGTCAATTAGTATTCGTTCGAATGAGCAAGTATAGTATTGAATAGTAGATATACCTAAGTACGAGGGCGACCGTTATTAGAGCCCGTTCAGCAACCGATGTTTGAACGAAAAATTTGGGAAATCAAATGTTACCAGTCGGCACACACTACCGAAATTCAAGCTCAGTCTGAATAGTGAGTGAGCGGCCGATAATGTTGATAACGTTGATAACATTTACGACGATAATCTGAATAGCTATGGATGTAGATGAGCCTGCTCATAACCGCTTTAACATACGACCACTCACAGTCCCACTCGTTCGACCAATAGTGCAACAAAATCGTCCCCCCCGGCCTCACCATGCTGTGCTTCGGCATCGTATCATTCGCTATGTCGCGCTCATCCTCAGTCTCCTGCTGGCCGCAGTGCATGTCTTCATGCAGGACACTGATGAACCTGAGCCCTATCACACCTCAGCCCTCACAGGGCAAGAGTGGGTGATAGAACTCATCCTTGGCCATCCCGATCGCATTCGTTGTGAGCTCGGGGTCAATGTTGAGGTCTTCGAGAAATTGATAGAGGACCTTCGCGCCCTTGGTCACCGTGATTCACGTTACGTCTCACTTGAAGAACAGCTATCAATATTTCTCTATACGTGTGTGACAGGATTAACTGTCAGACACGTCGCAGAACGATTCCAGCGTTCAAACGCTACCATCTCTAAGTTCGTATTTTGATCTAGATGTCACACTCACGCTGGTACTGACACTCTCATAGGTATTTTCGCAAGATGCTAGACATCTTTGCATCCCACCCTTTCTACACCGAATATGTCCACCTCCCCGCTCCTGATGCACCAGTCTCGAGTGCCATTCGCGACAACCCGAAACATTGGCCGTACTTTCGCGATGCTATCGGCGCAATCGACGGGAGTCATATTCACGCGTTTCCTCCCTCAGCCAGTCGCCACCTATACTACAACCGCAAAGGTTTCGTATCGCAGAACTGCCTCTTCGCTTGCAACTTCGATCTTCAGTTCACCTTTGTGCTAACCGGATGGGAGGGGTCAGCAACAGATGCTCGGCTTTGGGATGTAGCGCACCATGATGACTTGGACGTTCCGCCTGGAAAGTACCTTCTTGCAGACCTTGGTTTCCCCTCATCCCGACAACTTTTAGTTCCGTACCGTGGTGTACGGTACCATCTAGCAGAGTGGGGTTGTGCTAGCGTCAGGTAAGTACTTTTCTCTGCAGTGTATCTCAACTAAAAATACTCATTTTAGACCGGTTAACAAGGAAGAACTGTTCAACCTTCGTCACGTGTCTGCTCGCAACATTATTGAACATATTTTTGGCATCATGAAGTGGCACTTTCGCATTCTGTTAGTATCGCCAGAGTACAAGATAGCCATCCAGGCTCGCATTCCCACGGCACTGTGCGCTCTGCACAATTATATACGTATTCACAACCCGGATGAAGAGCCGCTCCCTCACAGGGCTGTATTTAACGACAACCCTACCCATCAGGGCCAACCTGCTCAAGGTGGTCCTGATGTTACTGATCCAATGGTTGAGGATGATGTTGTTGACGATGTAAGTGCGAATGTCTTTCGTGATCGCATGGCCACAGAGATGTGGGAGGACTACCAGAATATCTTACATGAGCGCAATTTAGTAGACATCGCTCACTCATTAGACATCGACGAGGATCCAGAGGACATTGAGGACATCGACCAATATTATGGGAGCGAGGATGACAATGAAAGTGATGCTTAGAAATACGTTACATTGTAGTGTACATAGAGCTACAAATGATAACGTGCGGTTCATCTAATGTGGTGCAAACAAATGAAAGGATACAGCAATGCATACGGCAATGAGTGAGACAAAAAGTAAAACATGACGACAATGACAATGTTTAAAACACACCAAATTCCCCCCTGGCAGCCTGGTCAAGAACAGATCGCAAGTAGGGGACCCGTCTTTCAGGCTTGGCAGCCAAGTAGATGGCGCATACTGCTGGGCTCCTTGCAAACATGTTCATGAGCGTGACGGACTCATCTTCTGTAATCAGCTCCTCCTCCTGCATGGCGAGCACAGCCTGTAGCCTTTCATCCAACACCTGAGTTTCATTTTGGTCGGTGTTGGATGCCGATGTGCAAAGGCTGTCCGTCAGGCTGTTGATGGAACCTTGCAGGTTCATGAAGACGGCAGTGCTGGCAGCGTCTTTGGCAGCCTTAGAGCCTTTGTGACTGCGGCCGGCTTGACTTTTACCTTGTGTCGACAACTTTGGCTTTTTGTCAACATTGGAGGCGTGGGATGAATCTACCAGTGACGTAGTTTGGGCGGTGCTGGGGGACAAAATCATGTCGGAATGCGAGCGTTTGCCCGTACTGGAGGGCACAATAGAAGAGGGGGGAGGGGGAATGTTCATGGAACTTCCAGCGACTCCAGGAGTGATGGATGGGAGGGCTGACTTGATCTGGTCCCATCCAGCTTGTGGCGCAGTAGTGAGTCTAGATCCGCTGGCCTCAGCATTGGGAGCCTCCGGTGCTTGCATGGATAAGGAGGATCCACCGGCTTCAGCATTGATAGGAAGAGCCACTGATGCTCCCGCAGCCAAGGAAGCTGGATTGTAGGCAGATGCCCCCTGAGCGCCACTCCCATTTGGGAGAATCTCCGACATCTTTTGCCAGTGTCTCCATCCGTTGTTTTTGAAAGGTTTCATCACCTGTGAATAGGGAGTGAGTAGTAGACAAGTAATAAATACAAACATACCTTGTTGGAATTATTAGCGGTAATAAATTGGTTCCACTGGAGTTCCGCTGCTTCCCCCTGAATATTGGCGCTGTTAACATTGTCCCAATGACATCCGGATCGGTTGTTGCGATATCTCTTGATGGCATTGTAGATTTGTTTCAACTGTAAGGGTTATTAATGATAAGTTAGTGATGCGGCTAGGGAGTAGGATACAAAGACATACTGCTTGCCATTTCCTCTTACACTGTACCATGTCCTTGTCTGGGCATTGCTTCTGAAGTCCCACAAGTTTCTTTGCTGCCTCATGGAAGGTCTCATCTTTGAAAGTCATCCCAGCGATCTTTGACACCTGCGATTGGAGATAGACCAGGAATGCATCGACCTCCTCCTCACACCACTGAGCTTTAGGTTTACTTTCACCCTTCTGAGTCATCATGTAGAGTTGGAACTGAGTGCAGAGGATGATGGCAGCTACAGTTGAGACGATCTGCCTTCGCTGATAAGAACTGATTCATTGTTGGCTTGTGCTGGCAGGCATAATTAGAGTAGAGTTCATTGAAACTCCGTCACAAACGGCTTCCACGCCGTTCCAATGCAATCCATACATAAACATAAATTTTGTTCAAACAACGGTTGCTGAACAGGCTCTTAGTGCCATAGTTGTAAAATCGAGGTGGATATATAGGGAGACCATGTGCATTGTAACATGACGAAACACGACTCACATTCTGTTCTTTTGCTGCAGTATAACCCATTTGCAATTCTCTGAATTGAAACCTGAATGCGTGGCTCATATGTCGGGTCTGACGAAGCTCGCAGCTTTCCTCATCTACCGCTGCTAACTTAAACTTGCGAATGCGGACGCGCAGCGCTGCACCAGTCGGCACTGCCAAAGTGGGTGCATTTTGAAACTCCGTCATGGCATGTATCGGCAGGTGACATTTCTGTGTGACTTCCAGTGTTCTGCCGGTCAGTGAACCAAGTTCACGGTCATTGACCAGATTGCGTGGGAAAGCTGGCGAACTTCGTCGACGTTCATCTGAACACGACTTTCAGGAGTTTCCTGGTCCTACTGTAACGAACTATACTATATCTGGTCAATGCTAGAATCTTTGATTATCCTCGTGCCGCTTCACATATCATTACTCACATAGATGCATGGTTTTCGTGTGTTCAGTTCAAGGGTACGTTTTAAGGCTTAGAACTCGAAGATGGACTCCCGACTTTTGACACACCATGAAGATCGGCAAGAGATCAAACCAAGGATGGTGGTGGGATCACTTCGTGGAGCACCCAGGTTATGCTGTCAAAGACCCAGCTTCGATGGTCAGTGACTCAGTGGAAAGGCAAAGGTAGTGTGTGCAAGGCTCTATGAGCAACGTGTTGCGCATGAGCAGGCAATGGATGAGCAGCAGGTACACTTGGGCCAGCGAGATGCACCAAGGGACGAAGTGGAATAGCAGGCACTCGTACACAAGTTTGTTTCATAGCTTTCTGTTACTAACTTAATGTACTAGTTTGGGCTAGTGGCCCGAATGATCCCCAACGCACCTGGTTAATCAGTCGGCCGACAACACTATTATGTCACTTGCGTGATTGTGCATTGCACTCTGAGGATGTCCGTTCACAAGCACAGCTGGAATACAAAATGGCGCAATCGGCTCTCAACTGAGACACTCACCCTTCTGGCAGAACTCAAGATGTATGTTCACGAAGAGCATGTACGCAACAATGTGGTCAAGAAGTGGCTTCAACGCCGGTACTGTGACACCGAGGCCACTGACAAAGCAGAGCCTACTCAAGTAGTTCATGCAGTTGGCGACAATCTATCAGGAGAAAGCAGTGAACGGGAGCCACGCAGCCTCGCTTTCGAGAGGCGAGGGATAAGTGATGTTGCAGCAGACCTTATCCGAGCTGTTCAGGAGGAGGAGATTTCCACCACAGAATCAATGCACTCAGTCCCCATTGGTGCTGCCGGTGCCGGTGGTTCATTCTCCCGCATTGCTATCAGTGACTTACTCAACTATTCTCGTGCGGAGGAATGGTTTGGATCTTTTTATAAAGTCGCTATTCGAGGTTTGGATGCTGAGCTTGAGTTATATGAGCTTCTTGACTTAGATGCCGAGGGAATTGATGATCCAGACTTTCCTCAAGTTGATGATGTTCTTGACGAGTAGATAAATGAGCAGTGCTACCAGATGTTATAGTAGTAGTAGTCGAGTACTTTCCATTCTGCGATTGTTGACGCACCGTGTACTGCGGCACTTTGAACCTGCTTCATCGTCCAATCAGATATGATTATCTAATATTCAAGCAGGACATCTGGCACTGCACGAGTTCAGTTCACTTGCATTCATGGGAAAGTTCGCGGCTGAACGTACGTTAACTTTGATAAACGTACACTGACCGGCAGAACACTGTGTGGAGGAACGATACACGCGGGAGGTTTTATGACACGCTAGAACAAAGGTACGAGTCTCAGTATTCGTTTCGAATCTCTATTAACAATTGTTTGTACCTAGAACAAAGGTACGACTAGATGTACGTCAGCGCTTGCGCTCGAACGTTACAGTGGGACTTGTACTTACGTCTCAGTATTCGTTTCGAATCTGAGACGTTTCGACGAAAACAGCGTCCTCTTATACGGTGAGTCTGCCAGCAATAGCTTTGATGAAAAATATATACTTAAAGAACGAAAAGATTGCCGACGTTGACACGTCGTCGACGTTCTCCGTTTGGAGACGCTCGCACTCGATGTGCTCTATTCTTCGGCCGTATCGTCCTTTCCTTTCTCAGCTCTCTCTCTCTCGGCCTTACTTCCCTCGGACACATCGGCTCTCAACACTCCCCCTCGAGCGTTATCCAAACACATCAATGTCCTCAACCTCTGGAGTCGGGGACGTGCCAATGGCTTCGTGAACGCGTCCGCGACATTGTCGTCACTGGGGCAGTAGATTATCTTGAAGGTACCGTCCTTCACGTGGCCGCGTACGAAGTGGTATCGCAGGTCTATGTGCTTGGTGTGCGATTGGAATTTTCCCGTCGAGACTAACGCTATAGCAGCTTGGTTGTCGCAGAAGATGGGTGTGGGGAGGTCTTGGACGTCGTAGAGCTCGCGGATGAGGAGTTGCAGGTAAAGTACTTCCCTTGCCACGCTGGTCAACGCTATGTACTCAGCTTCAGCTGTTGACAGGGCTATGATAGGCTGTTTGCGCGCGCTCCACGAAACGGGGCCTCCATGGAGCAGTACGATGTACCCGCTCATGGAGTGCCTATGTGGCTGCGATGCCCAATCGGCATCGACAAACGCCTCAATTCCTCCCTCGCTGGATCCCAACGTCAGCTCATAGTCTGCGGTGCCTTTCAGGTACCGCAGGGCGCGTTTGGTGGCCTCCCAATGGGGTCTCCCCGGATTCCTCATAAATTGCGACAGTGTTGCCACCGCAAAAGCGATATCTGGCCGGGTACTCGTAGCTGCGTACATTAACGAACCGATCGCGCGTTGATATGGTATGTCTCGCATAGCTTGGAGTTCGGCGTGTGTTGCAGGGGACTGATCTATGGAAAGGACAGTACCTGGTTCCATGGGCGTGTGCAGGACCTTCGCGTCCTCCAGGTGGAACCTTTCGAGGATCGTCTCGACGTATGCCTTCTGTGAAAGTGTCAAGGTGCGTGCTACGCGGTCCCTCGTCACCTTCAGCCCCAATAACCAGCTCAACTCCCCTAGGTCGCTAATCTCGAAGTGCGCGCGCAGCTCGGACTTAAACCGATGGATATGGGATATATGGTTGGCGGTGACGGCCATGTCGTCGACAGAGACGGTGATGACGACGTGTTCGCGCGAGGTGCGTTTGTAGAAAACGGCTTGATCTACTTTTGACCTGCTGAAGCCCATTTCATTGAAGGCTCCAGCTAGCTCCTGCGCCCACTCATATCCTGCTTGTTTGAGTCCAGGTAAGCTTCTTTTCAGCTTCAGTACCTTCCCTTCCTGACCATCCTTCAAGTATCCAGGGGGCGCTCGCATATATATGTCCTCCTGCAGACTCGCATATAGGTACGCACTTTTAATATCGACTTGGTGTATTTCCCAGTCGTGCTGAGCAGCCATCGTTAGGACTGCACGTATTGTGCTCATATTGGCCGTGGGGGCGAAGGTTTCGAAGAAATCGACCCCGTACTTCTGGCGCTGCCCATTTGCAACTAGGCGCGCGCGAAGCTTCAGCTTCTCGCCGTCCGGCCCGCGCTTTGTGGCCAGGACGTAATGGCATGGGATAAGGTTTACGCCTCGAGGTGCGTCTACGATTTCCCACGTACCTAGCTTCTCGAGTTGACTGACTTCGTAATTGATGGCTTCTTGCCACTCTGCAGCGTCTGGGCCCTTCAAGGCTTGTTGGAGGGTCGGTTCTGGTTGGACGGCGGCCAATGCTAGGTGAATATGCGCCTCTTCATCCAAGAGGTCGAGTTCTGACGCTTCCAACAGGCTTTCCATGGTTAGGGCTGCCGTTTGGCCCTCATTCAGCGCCGCATAGTACCCTGGGGGTGGTCTTACCCTCGTCGACCTCGCTTCAGGAGTAGATGGTTGAGGTTGCTGGGCAGTAGACGGTTGAGGTTGCTGAGGAGTAGAAGGTTGAGGTTGCTGAGGAGTAGATGGTTGGGGTTGCTTAGGAGTAGAAGGTTGAGGTTGCTGTGGCATGGTGATGGGCTGGACGCTACTAGGTGAGTTATTATTACCGTTGCCGCTGTTATGTTCGTTGACTACAGCAGACTCCCCCTCGTCCGGCATACCATCGGCTGCCAGGATCGGCGTGAAGGTCACATTCCTCTCCACCGAGACACGCCGTCTGCCGGGCCAATACACCCGGTATCCTTTACTTTCAGCGTCTACCCCCACAAAAACTGCCTCCTCCGCCCTCGCCTCCAGCTTACCAGCCTCCAGCATATGGACGAAGACCCTGGCCCCAAATTCATGGGCCTGCGACAAGTCCGGCTTGGACTTGCGCACCAACTCGTAGGGCGTGCTACCTGGGATCGCCCTTGAAGGTAGGCGATTCTTGAGCCAAGTGGCGTAACTAACGGCCTCGGCCCACAGGTACTTTGGCATATCTCTGCCTAGGAGCATTGCTCTCGCATGCTCGACGAGTGTCCGGTTGAGTCGTTCGGCGACACCATTCTGTTGGGGTGAGTCGTGCACTGTTAGCTGCCGCTCTATACCTTGCTGACGCAAGTATTGATCGAACTCGGCGCTCAGATACTCTCCTCCTCTGTCCGAACGGATTTTGCGCACGCGCACACCTGGTGATTGACGGGCCACCCATGCCTCATAGGACTTGAACGCGGTAAGTGCGTCACTCTTTTGTTTGAGGAACTCGAGTCGCGTCTGCCGGCTAAAGTCGTCCGTGAAACTGACATAATATTTACAGCCTCCCAAACTCGTCGTCTGCGCCGGTCCCCAGAGGTCCGTATGGACTAGTTCTCCGTATGTAAGTGCGCGCATCTTCGTTTCTCTTGGGAAGGACTGCTGAGCTGACTTAGCTTTCACGCAGACTTCACAGAACTGGATGGCGGGCGCCGGATCTATGTCTATGCCCAGGATTAGGCCCTTCTTGACTGCGTCAAGAAGGGCCGCATGTGATACGTGCCCTAGGGCACGATGGACATCATTGATGGTAAGCTTTGTCCTGGCGACGTTGGCACGATGCTTACGGTCGGACGTTACAGCGTAAAGTCCCTGGACTTGGGGTATTTCTGCGATCGTCCTTCGTTCGGGGGGAGCAGACAGTATCCTGCACATTCCTCCTTCGAACAGCACGGCCAAACCGGCGGAGGCGATCTTATTGGTGGAGATAAGGGTAAATGCCATGGAGGGGGCATATAGGACGTCTTTTAGCGTCACGGTCGTTCGTTTCGAGCCCAACGGTAAGTCCATCCTCACGTCTCCTCGTCCTGTCGCATTGACAGTAGCTCCATTCGCAGTGTATATCTTCTGCGGGGCGATCTCAACGAAGGATACAAATTTTGCCCTATCCGGGCAGAAATGAGAGGTCGCGCCGGAGTCTACTATTGCTCCTCGGCGCTCTGGAGGTACGTCCATCGATTTTGCTATGACTGCGAGGTCTGACGTAGCGAAAGCGTAGTTGTCCTTTGGCTCCGGCTCTTTGGCTACATTGGCACTTTGTTTTTGGGTGCGTCCTCCTTGTCTCTGCCGTTGATTCGGCCCCTGACCTTCTTTTCCTCCACCTTTTCGCCAACAGTCACTCTTCCAGTGGCCCTTACGATCGCAGTTCGTACAGACTGCGTCGGGGTTGGATTTTGGAGCCGAGCTCTGCGAGCTCGTGCTCCTCCCTGCATTTGTTCTCGCGGAGAGCGCACTGTTGGTCCCGCGTTTGTTGGGACGTCGTTCGGTGAGTAACCGGTGCTCGTATTCCTCTGTGATGATGGTGATGAGTTCGTAGGGCGAGAGGGGAGTTTTCGTTATCTTGGCCGCTGCGTTCATCGACGACAGTAGCGGCCGGTAGGATTCAGGTAAGGACCCTAGGATGATGGCATGAAAGTCCGTATCAATGACGGCTACCCCCATTCCAGCTAACGACTCCCTCAGGCGCAAAAGCTCTGAAAAATGAGCCTTGACGTCACCACCTTCTTCGCACCTCGTCTCCTGGAGCCTCCGTCTCAGATCTATCTGGACGAGTTCGGTTTTGCCTTCATGTATGTGGCATATTTCCTTCCAGATTTCGGACGCGGATGCTAACTTTTGGACACGTAACAGCAGCCGATCTGTGATCGTGCAAAATATTTGCTGTTTTACGAGTGAGTTCTTTTGTTGATACTCATCGGTCTTTGCGTCGAGCTCATCGATTTCTTTCTGCGTAGGTGTTGTACCATCCGGCTTCGTAACGGCCCCCGTAGAGCTCTTTACGAAAGGCGTAGGCTCTTTAGCTCGTCCATCGGTATATCTCGTAAGTCCTCGTGCACCTATAGCCGTTAACGTCCTTTCCTTGTAGGTTATCCAGTTCGAGCCATCTTCGGCGAGCTTCGGGATGTTAAAAAGGTTTGAATTGGTGCTGGGAGTCGACAAGTCCATGGAGGAGACAGGGCTCATAACCTGTGGAGGAACGATACACGCGGGAGGTTTTATGACACGCTAGAACAAAGGTACGAGTCTCAGTATTCGTTTCGAATCTCTATTAACAATTGTTTGTACCTAGAACAAAGGTACGACTAGATGTACGTCAGCGCTTGCGCTCGAACGTTACAGTGGGACTTGTACTTACGTCTCAGTATTCGTTTCGAATCTGAGACGTTTCGACGAAAACAGCGTCCTCTTATACGGTGAGTCTGCCAGCAATAGCTTTGATGAAAAATATATACTTAAAGAACGAAAAGATTGCCGACGTTGACACGTCGTCGACGTTCTCCGTTTGGAGACGCTCGCACTCGATGTGCTCTATTCTTCGGCCGTATCGTCCTTTCCTTTCTCAGCTCTCTCTCTCTCGGCCTTACTTCCCTCGGACACATCGGCTCTCAACACACTGGCACATAGTGAGTTTCGGGATATGCTATCAGACGCCGTGTGCTAAGTGCATTGGAACGTAGCTCTCACTGTGTTCACCGTAAATGTGTGATGAATTCAAACACAGAGAAGAGAACTCGAATATAAACTCATTTTGAATGAACGAGTGCGAAATTTGGTGGTTAGAAACAACCTATGATAGGATCGGGCCATCCGGTATTTGCCATTCAATAATATATAGGTGATCGAGATTCAATCGAGCACCCTGGCAGTGCCAAGTAATAACATGAACATGCTGATGACACGATGCTTGTTAATAACACTAGGCGACCACTTGATTTTCACCAGTATTAGGTTAAAAACAATGTGATGGCTCGAGCGCTCATCGTCCGTACCCTGAAGTGCACAGCCGAATCCTCACCGCTGCAGCTAGACCAGCAGCCATCAGAGAACCTGTGAGAAGAAGATATCGTCATATATCGTTATATATCGTAATATATAGGAAAGGTTTTCGTCACATTGTAATATAAAGTGATATAAAGCAATATATGACCATGTAAAAGCACCATAATCAGCATAATCCCCAGCAAGAACTCACCGGTTTACTGATGGCTTGGCATCATAATATGCCATGTGCGAAACCCAATGAATTTAGGTAGCACGGTGGTTTTGATATCTATGAGCTCACGCAGCTACGCCTCCTCCCCAATGCACAACGCCCTTCTCAGATCTCACTGGCACGTGTATGGAACATGCTGAATACAAGCGTACTGACTCCTGTGCTAACGAGAAGGTAGCTGACACTGCTCAAAAACAGCGAAGGCGCAAGTCAAGACGTACCTTTCTGTCTTTGCTTGAGTCATTATAGAGCAATGTCAAGTCTTGCTCACGCACAACCATCTATTGTAAGTATTTTTTTTGACTCTTCCTAAGCTAAGCCAAAATTAACTTGAAACCAGTCCTCCATCCCATCTCAATGTGTTGTCATTTGCGGAGAAGCCGGATCTGGTAAAAGTTCTTTGGTCAATTTAATCGCTGGCACGAACATTGCAGTGACATCCTGCGATGCTGGGGGATGTACAGCTGAAACTAATGTGTACGACAATTTGATGATTCGGAACGAGACGTTGAAGGTAAAGCTTGTCGATACAGCTGGTTGGTCCAGTTTGCTGCTCTTCGTGACTATTACTGAGTTAGATTTAGGTTTGGACGAGGGCCCCCTAGGCACAGTCCCAGATACAGAAGCTCGACGAATATTAAAGAAGCTCCTTCGAACTTTGACGGAGCAAGACGATATTCATCTCATCATGTACTGTGTGCGGGGTGAGAGAGAGATTCGGACACTCCGCCGGAACTACGAGTTAATCCGCTCCCAAGTAAAGAGAAAAGTTCCAATTGTCCTTGTCGTCACATGTTTGGAATTCCGTCAACCAGATATGGAAGACTGGTGGAGGGTTAATGAGCAAACTATCTCAAACCTCGGGATGACCTTTGCTGGCCACGCGTGTATCACCACGGCGACAATGACAAGACCTGTGTTTGCGGAGCGTCGCACCCAGTCATACGACGCTGTCTGCAAACTCATCGAGCAGTGTCACCCATCAAATAACACACGGGTTGATACTGGATCGTCACTAGGCACCCTTCACCATGTCCCTTCTAGGAAGACTGCTAGGTACGTATTCCCTATACTCTTTGTATCGCACTTCCCTAACATTGATCAGTAGTGACAAGCACCCGAATGTGGTCATCTTTGGGCAGGCAGGAGTAGGCAAAAGCTCACTTGTCAATCTCCTGGCGGGAAAGAACGTAGCTGAGACATCCAGTGACCTGAAACCCTGCACGCAGAAGTGGGAGGAATATCCCATAAAATTGGATGGCGGCTCATATAATATATTCGATACTGTTGGACTCCGAGAACCACAGCTGCAACCCTCGCAGTACTTCGATGCTATCGAAAATGCCCATAGCCTCGTCCTGACATTGAAGAGACGAGGTGGCATTGATCTACTCATCTTCTGCGTGCGCGCATGCCGATTCACTACTACGCTTCGAAGCAATTACCGGCTCTTTAACGAATTCCTCTGTGAAAAGAAGGTCCCCATAGTTATAGTGATCACATACCTCGAAGACGAAGACGGGGAAATGGATGACTGGTGGAAGAGAAACCAAGATACTTTCCGTCACCAGGAGTTCCGTGTCGATGGACATGCGTGCATCACTGCTATTCGAGGTAATCATCCAAACCGGTCTGAACGGTATGAACAATCGCGCACCAAGATCCACAAACTTGTCAAGGAGTTCACTGCTGATGGGCAGAAGAGAGAATGCAGAGGAGGAGACGACCCGTTAGTGCCGCCGATGCAAAAGCTGAAGAAACTACCTTCAGAGCATTCGCGTTCGAAGGATATGGTCCTTCACCTCACCAAGAGGTGTGGTTTATCTCCGGACGTCGCAAAGCAGTTGGTTGATAGGATTAAGAAAGACGCGGTAGAAGGAGCTACTTGATTTCGTGTTCGATAGCTTGTGCTCATTCCGTTTGTACACTTTTAAATTGATTTTGATCTTGAAACTACAGCGCGTTGATGAGGAATTAGCGCCTGCAGCACTGAACTTATTGCAAAGAGTACAACTATTGCGTGTATAATAAGTTATAAGTTATTAAACGTATTGGCAAGGTAAGTCTACAACCAGAATGAGCACAAGCTATCGAACACGGCAAGTCATGTCAAATAGCTCCTTCTACTACCATGTCTTTCTTGATTCTATCAGCCAACTGCTTTGCGACGTCCGGAGACAAACCGCACCTCTTGATGAGGCGAGGGACAATCTTATCCTTCTTCGAACGTGGTTTCCCTAAAAGTAGCCCCCTCAGCTTCTGCATCAACGACATGAACAGCTCGTCTCCTCCCGGTTTCCGTGCTCGTTTCTGCCCGCCAGCAGTGACCTCCTTGACAAGTTTGCGGACTATGTTGCCCGATTGCTCATGCCGTTCTGGAAAATTGCCTCGAATGGCGGTGATGCACGCATGTCCATCGACATGGAACTCCTGGTGACGGAGAGTTTCTTGGTTTCTCTTCCACCAGGCATCCATTTCCCCGACTTCGTTTTCGAGGTATGTGATCACCATAACGATGGGGACCTTCTTTTCACAGAGGAATTCGTTAAAGAGCCGGTAATTGCTTTGAATCGTAGCGGTGAGTCGGCCTGCGCGCATACAGAATATAAGTAGATCAATGCCACCTTGTCTCTCTAATTTTTGGATGAGGGTATGGGTATTCTCGACAGCATCAAGGTACTGTGGGATTCCCAGCTGTGGTTCCTCGAGTCCGACAGTATCGAATATATTGTAAGAGGCGCCATCGAATTTGACGGGATATTCCTCCCACTTCAACGTGCAGCGTGTCACGTCACTGGATGTCTTTGCTACATACTCTCCCGCCATGAGATTGACGAGTGAGCTTTTGCCTGCTCCTCCCTGCCCAAAGAGTACAATGTTGATATTTTTATTTCTACTTAGCGTTGTTGGAACAATATGGCACAAGGATCTGGCCTAGATTCTACGTACTTTGCATTCGAGTTCATTGCGGTTTTGAAGGGATGGTGATGGTACTAGGTACGGTAACGTTTGACCGCATGTCTTTTAAAATCCTACGAACGTTGACCACGCTCTTTGCACCCATGCTTCGGATGCCCCATCGATCGGATACTGACTTAACAATTGACATTTACCTGTAGATTGTTGCTAAGCTGCACCCGACAAATGAACTCGAGGCAAGCTCGTGTTGATGGTGCGATTTAAGAAGTCAATTCCTAGTCACCTGTTAGGAGAACTTGGTAAACTTCACAACCAACTATGAATTACATTTAGATATTACTTCAACGAGTTAGAACTTAGAGAATGAGGTTCAGAGCCCCACAACTCCGTGGAGCTTTGGGATAAAATAGGAGAGGCGTATTGTGATAAATTATGTGTCTCTGATTGAATGAAATGCTTTGGTTGTTCACGCAGCGAGAGAAGTCCCGCTAAATAAGATGCATTCAAAGTTCACGACGTACGAACATTTAGAATAAACCTTAGATAATGGAAAGGTTGGTTTGTCCGAGTCGTTCAAGGAGAGGTTCGCGAAGCACCTGGTATGAGGACAATTAGAACATTAATTCAAAGATATTCACACATAGCAAACGAAAATATTGAAGGCCACGACGTAAGAGCATTTGGAACAAACATCAAGGTCGAGTCGTTGAACGAGATGCCCTTCAAGTTGAGGTCCGTGAACTTCGAAGTACTTACCTGGCATGAGAACAATTACAACATTAATTCAAAGCTACTCACAGATAATGAAATGAAACTATTTAAGGCCAAGAAGACTATTCAGAAAAACCTCCCCGAAGCTCCGAGGCTGTAGATCAAGAAGAATGTGTCAGTCTAAAAAATCCCAAAAGTACGTACTAGATCAACTTGAAGGCACCAATGTAAATCTTTTCCACAAAGCTCAGACGCCATGAGAAGAATGGACCAGTGTAAATCCAAAGCTCCAGAGACTGTAGATCGACAAGCTCATAGGTACAGGCCTTATATTTGTCAGTTGTTACACTGACACAGCTGTGAGCAAGTGCAGCGGACAGCGCTGTGCGACTCGGACGAAGGGCGCAGGATCTAGTATACTTACCATATACTATGGCAGTGAGCGAAGGGTTCAAAGGGCCCGTACAGACTGTTACTTACTACCAGAGCCTCCGCGCGAATCTGAGTTAAATATCCCCTCCCAGGGATGATGGTCTTTCCCATAACATGGAAACCGGGTCTGAAAGACTGTGGGAACGTCTTTGAAGTGGTGCCAAGGGTGACTTTCTCCGTTGCACGCTGCCTCTTGTCCACTCTTGCTCCGAATCGATACCGTTCGCGACTATCCTCTTATCAAGGCCTGTCTAACTACTACGGGAAAGTAGGCTCGACTCAATTTACGGTCAGCGAGATTAATGTCCGAAAGACGTTCTGAATCCCATTGACCACGCGAAACGTGGTCGTATTTCGAAATATTGGACATACATGATGTATTATAAGAATTTCAGAGTAAGATCATCATGCGTGTAAGTTATACCGTATTAGCAAGCTAAGTATACAAACAAAATGTTATCGAACACGGAAAGTCAAGTAGCTCCTTCCACTACGTCGTTCTGAATCTTAATTCTATCAGCCAACTGCTTTGCGACGTCTGGAGACAAACCACACTTCTTGATGAGGCGAGGCACAATATCCTTCGAACGTGATTTCCCTGAAAGTAGCTCCCTCAGCTTTTGCATCAACAGCACGAGAATATTGTCTCCTCCTTTCCATGTTCGCTTCTGCCCGTCAGCAGTGAACTCCTTGACAAGTTTGTAGATCGTGGTACGCGATTGCTCGTGCCGTTCTGGACAATTGCCTCGTATGGCGGTGATGCACGCATGACCATCGACATGGAACTCCTTGTCATGAAAGAAAAATTTGTTTCTCGTCCACCAGGCATCCATTTCCCCGACTTCGTCTTCGAGCCATGTGATCACTATAACGATGGGGACCTTCTTTTCACAAAGAAATTCGTTAAAGAGCCGGTAATTACTCAGAAGCGCATCGGTGGGTGGGCCTGCGCGCATGCAGAACATAAGTAGATCAATGCCGCCTTTTTTCTCCAATTTCTGGATGAGGCCATGGGCATTCTCGACAGCATCGAGGTACTGTGGGATTCCCAGTTGTGGTGCCGCGACTCTAATAGTATCGAATATATTATAAGAGTCATCAGCGATTTTGACGTGATGCTCTTCCCACTTCAGCGTGCAGGGTTTCACGTCATCGGACGTTTCTGCTACGTACTCTCCCGCCATGAGATTGACGAGTGAGCTTTTGCCTGCTCCTCCCGGCCCAAAGAGTACGATGTTGATATCTTTGTTTCTACTTATCGTCATTGGAAAAATATGGCAGAAGGATCTTGTCTACGCACCTTGTGTCCGACTCCATCACAATTTGGATTCCAGGAATGTTCAAGATGGCACTAGGGTGCCGTGACGTTTGACCGCATTTCTTTTAAAACGGTGCGAACGTTGACCACGTTCCTTTGTACATACTTCAGACGCCTGCCAATCGGTTGAATACTGACTCGACAAATGTCATTCGCCTGCAGGTTGTCGGCATCCGGCAAATGAAGTCGAGGCTAAGTCGTGTTGATGGTGCGATTCAAAAAATAATAATTCATAGTCAACTGTTACTAGGAGAGCTTGGTGAACGTCATAACATCACCGTGACATTCAAAGATTGCTTCCATGAGGGAGAAAACAAGCATCAGAGCCCCTGCAACTACATGCAGCTTTGGAGCAAATAGCAGAGGCGGTGTCTGTGGCAATCGTACGACTCATGGTGGAACATTATGTAAAACGGCGACTGACATGTTATCGATTAATAGCTTCTTCGACTCCTTCTGCGCATGTACAACTCTGATATAGTAGTTTCGTACCGTATTTGATTCTCACCAAAGTGTGACATTGTCACGCTGCTCCGCCATTTCACATCCTCTACGACATCGTACCCAGTTTACGCGTTGCACAGCAGGCTATATTTTAATTTTTTAAACGGGAATCATACCCACAACCCGAGGCTTAAAGATGTGTCAGAGGTAAACGTGAGTCAAAATTATTGCACTATTCATAGGGATAACTCCGTGGGTAGTTTTTCATGAATTATTGAGTAGTCCTTCAATATTCAATGATCAATCGATCGTAGTCCTGATAGAGGCTTTATCGTCCGTTCCCTGATGTGTACATCCACATCCTCACCGCTCAGTGATGCAGCTAGACCACTAGCTTAGCATGTGCCATGTACGAGACCCAATGCAGTTAGACAGCATGGTTGTAATATCGACGAGCTCACACAGCTACGCCGCCCCCAATGTCTAACTCTGATTCTCAGAATCTCACCGGCACGTGTGCGAAACATGCTGAATCCAAGCGTCTTCGTCATCTATGATCGGCCTGGATATACCAACTGCGATGTTCTAAGGAGAAGGTAGCTGAAAGACGCCTGACGTTACTCAAAAACGGCGAAGGCGCAAGTCGAGACCTAACATTCGCTTTCTTCTCTTGAGTCACTATTACAATGTCGAGTCCTGCTCGTGTACAACCATATAGTGTAAGCGTTGTTTGACTCTTCCTCAGCTGAGGCTAAATCAACATCAGGAGCCCTCCATCGCATCTCAACGTCACGGTAGCGTTACCAGTTCCAACCATACTGAAGTCGGGGAATCTCCACACCGCACAGACCCGTTCAGCGTTGTTATTTGCGGAGAAACTGGATCTGGTAAAAGTTCCTTGATCAATTTGATTGCTGGGACGGACGTTGCGGTGACATCCTGTGATGCTGCGGGATGTACAGCTGGAACTAATATGCATGACATTTCGGTGGTTCGGAATGATACGTTGAAGGTAAAGCTCATCGATACAGCTGGTCAGTCTACTAGTTCGCTGCTCCTCGGGCTATTACTGAACTGATTGCAGGTCTGGATGAGGGCACTCACGGGACGGTCCCAGACAAGGAAGCTCGAAAAATTTTGAAGAAGCTCCTTCGAACTCTGACGGAGCAAAGCGACATCCATCTCGTCATATATTGTGTGCGGGGTGAGAGAGTGATTCGGACACTCCGCAGGAACTATGAGTTGATCCGCTCCCAAGTCAAAGGGAAAGTTCCAATTGTCCTTGTCGTCACATGCTTGGAATCCCGCCAACCAGAGATGGAAGACTGGTGGAAGGTTAATGAGCAAACCATCTCAAAGCTCGGGATGACCTTTGCTGGCCACGCATGTATCACCACGACGACAATGATAGGACCTATGTTAAAGGAGCGCCGCACCCAGTCATACGATGCTGTCTGCAAACTCATCGAGCAAAGTCACCCATCGAATAACACAGGGGTTCATACCGGATTGTCACCAGGCGCTGTCCACCACGTCTCTTCTAAAAAGGCCGCGAGGTACGTATTACCTATACTCTTTGTATCGCATCTTCCCAATATGTATCGATAGCACCAAGCATCCAAATGTTGTCGTCTTTGGTCAGGCAGGGGCAGGAAAAAGCTCACTCATCAATCTGATAGCAGGAGAGAACCTAGCAGAGATATCCCGTGACATGACACGCTGCACGCTGAAGTGGGAAGAATACCCCGTCAAATTCGGTGGCGGCTCTTACAATATATTCGATACTGTCGGACTCGAGGAACCACAGCTAGGAATCCCACAGTACCTCGATGCTGTCGAGAATGCCCATAACCTCATCCAGAAATTGGAGAGACAAGGTGGTATTGATTTACTTGTGTTCTGCATGCGCGCAGGCCGACTCACCGCTACGCTTCAAAGCAATTACCGGCTCTTCAACGAATTCCTCTGTGAAAAGAAGGTCCCCATCGTTGTCGTAATCACACACCTCGAAAACGAAGTCGGGGAGATGGATGCCTGGTGGAAGCGAAACAAAGCAACTTTTCGCCACATGGAGTTCCATGTCGATGGTCATGCGTGCATCACCGCTGTCCGAGGCAATTATCCAGAACGGCATAAGCAATCGCGCACCACGATCCATAAACTTGTCAAGGAGTTCACTGCTGACGGGCAGAAGCGAACATGGAAAGGAGGAGACAATTTGTTCGTGTCGTTGGTGCAAAAGCAGATCGGGTTACTTTTAGGGAAATCACGTTCGAAGGATATTGTACCTCGCCTCATTAAGAGGTGTGGTTTGTCTTCAGACGTCGCAAAGCAGTTGGCTGATAGAATCAACAACGACGTAGTAGGAGCTGCTTGACTTGACTTCCCGTGTTCGATAGCTCGTGCCCATTCCGGTGTGAACTCACCTTGCCGATATCTTATAACTTATTACACGCATAATGGTTCTACTCTTTGAAATTCTCAATACATTATGCATGTCGAATCTGAACGTTCTGAACGTTGAACACGCACGGTGCTATGACGCTCCAAACCCCACTTTAATAAACTGCGCGATACACGACATCCAGTGCGCGATACGACAATGCGCGATACGACAGAGTGCGCGATACGACAGAGTGCGCGCGATACGACAGAGAGTGCGCGATACTCGAGTGCACGATGGGTGTAAGATTAAGGTATTGTATCATAGTGGGAAGAGTTTAGGGTCAGGTAGCAGGTCAGGGTAGCATGTTATAGAATCTAGATAGACAATGGAAGCTCCGAGTCCATGATTAAAAGGATACTATGTAGATAGCAGTACTAGTAGGGCACAGAATGTTAGACGGCAATATTCACGTCTCCTATAAAATAGTCCTCAGACCAAGGATTAATACGAGGAGGGGCAGATGGACTATCAGGGTCGAGGACACCCCGCAAGAAGATATCGGATGGTCGGGGCTCTACAAAGTCAAGTGGCTTGGAGACATGACGAAGAAGGAACTGTCTAGATAGTAAATCAGCGGTGCCGAAATGCGATGCCTGATGGCTTGACCCAGCGCGGAAAAGAGCCGGAGGGGACATTATCCTCTCGCACTGGAGTCTCTGGCACTAGCGACAACTGTCGAATAACATTAGGAAGTTCGTCGATGTCTGCATTGGAGCTTTCTAGAAAAACTCAATTGTGAGTGAGTGAGCGAGCGAGAAAAAAAAGGTTTAAATTTGAACGAACGTTTGTTAGGCTGCGAGGCTGCGTGAAAAACACTCTGTGCTCGGAAATCCGACACCAAGTCCTCCTGCTTCACTGTGATGCCTGCTAGAACAATGAAGGAGAGACAGGACAACTGGTGAAATATACACACCTTTCATTTTTTTGACGGAAGGTTTGGATTCTGTGTCGGAGACAATCTCAACAGATGATTCTCGTCCACGTTTGAGCTTCGCAGCGTAGTGCTGCCGCGGTCCGGTTCAGGCATGGAGGGCGAACGCTGGACCGAACCCTTATCATAGAACGCGTTCGCAAACGTTCGGTTCGAGTTCTGAACGCGTTCGAACGCCTGAACGCGACATATGAATTTCAAAAAAATTTCGAGGACTACATGAAAAATTCGATGAGTAACTACTAACTACACCATATCCACGACATAGCATTCACGAGCTGCGGCAAACTCAGCTTGAGCCGTCGCGGAAATATGGCCCTGACGATACCCACTCTTCAATAGTTGAAGGGCCTCAAAAGTCGACGGCAACAAACAATTACGGCGTGAAGTCCCGGTGATCCCGCCACTCGAAAAAGCTCGTTCGGATGCAACGGCGGAGCCTTGAATAGCTAAGTAGTCCTTAGCAATGCGAGAGATAGTTGGATATTGAATTGAATGATGCTAAGGACATATGTCAACTTGTAAGGAATAGCGATTCGAAAAAAAACACTCACACCCCACCAAGCTACCATGTTCTCGATGTCCTCTAGCGGGGAAGCCAGATAGTCTTCAAGTTCTTGACGAGGCCTTCGGCTTGCAGTGTCGCTCGCAACGCGGGATTGAACAGCCTCGCGCATCCAACTGTGGCCATATGAGCCTTGGCGTGCAAGAGAGGGAGGAGCCACCACAGCAGGCGCTGCGTCTGGTAAGGAATTGTGATGATAGTATGTGTCGAAAACGATCCGCAGGTGTCTCATGCCCTTGTTGAAGTCGTGGGGCTCCCATTTGCTCTTCGCGTACGCAACCTTGTAGTTGGGGTCTAGCGCTAGATACAAGGTAGTACATTAGATAGGGCATTGTATTAACCAAAACACGTACCAAGACAAATAAAGTACACATCGGTTTCATCAATTTTATGATACCACTTGCAAAGATTGTCGATGCCAGAGTTAATGGCGGTTGAAAAGTCCGCAAACTTCAAAGACCCGGCCATATTTTGCCAGGTTTGTTGGAGGAATTCAAGCACCGGGATCGCGCGCCATACCGTGGGTTCGTGAGTCGCAGAGAACGATTGCTGAGCGTTTGCAGGCTCCTGGTAATGCAATAAGTCAATAAAAATTAAACTTGTCAATGAAGAAGCACGCACCTGAAGCACGTCGTGCATCAACTCTAACTTCTTCCATTCCTCGGCCGAGAGCTTGAACGCGCCATAGGACTTGCCCTGGAGGTTTGTGTTGTTAATAGTTTGTTTATCGGTACATCGAGTACCAGCTTACCTAATCACGCAAGTACATAGTCACATTAGAGTTACTCACACCTCAGTCCGCTACACTACGAGTACGCGACTGAGGTAAGACATTCATTACTATAGTTCATTCCTTTACTAACTTCACTAGTATACACTCGTTTTATCTAGCCTTCCGTTTGTTCCCGCATGTCGCAACTTCAAACAAAAGGTTATGAGCCCTGCTTCATATTCAAGCACACAAATAGCCTAGTAGTGACAACTTCCTACCCTCTACACAATGTCCAACAATCCGTCAATCTCGCAAGCCCAACATTCACAAACACAACTCACTGCCTCATCAGCATCTAGTTCGAAGAAAGTAATTCAAGCTTCAAATCGACTCTATGACATTCCATCACAAGAGAATGATGGCTTTAACTTTCAGAATTGGAAGTTTCGAGCGAAGAAAGTACTCACAGTGAGGAGACTTTGGGAGTTAGTCACTGGAGTGGAGGTGCAGCCCCCTGCCACAGACCCAGATGCACTAAACAAATGGTTAGAGAAAAACGAGGAAGCACATGCACAGATCACACTCACACTGAAGGACGAACCGCTAAACAGAGTCCTACACACAACGTTGGCATCTGATGCCTGGACAAAATTGTGCGAATGATACGAGGGAAAGGGCAAACAAAGCATAGCCTACCTGATAGGCGAATTGTTTCGAGGAACTCTGTCAGACGAGTCACCCCTAGAACCCCAGCTCAATTCAATGCAACAGAAGGCACAAGTACTGAACTCACTCGGCCAAGCTCTCGAAGACTCTCTAGTAGCCATTGCTATGGTCATATCACTTCCTCCTTCCTACTCAACTCTCCGAACAATTCTCATGTCAATGAGCGACAAGATCACAATAAAAGGTACTATCAGCCAGATCCTGGTCGAGGAGAAGTCACGTCGAGGTCCAGATTCTCAAACAGCTCTTGTAGCCAAGACCTCAGACAGGTCGAAAGAGAGTTCGAAAACGGATAAGAAGAAGAAACCTGGCAACTGCAACTATTGCAAGAAGCCAGGCCACTGGGAGAGAGATTGTCGCAAGAAACAGGCTGAAAAGGCTAAAGGACCCAGCAAAGCCAAGGACGACAAACAAGATAAGCCAAAGACAGAGTTATCAGCAAAAGTAGCAGCTGTAGTCGAAGAAGACGCACCAGCATTGCAACTGTTTGTTGCACATGACTCTAAAGACGAACCTAACTCCGTGGAATGGATCATCGATTCTGGTGCTTCAGCAAGTATGTTGTGCCGCCGAGATTGGTTCAGGACATTTTGTCCAATAGTCCCAGCGCAGCGAGTCGTCATAGGGAACGGAAGGTCCATCAAAGCTACAGGACTTGGTAGCATTGAGCTCGAGGTTGAAGTTGGAAAAGGGAATATGCACCGAACCATACTGCAGGAGGTGTATTATGTCCCTGCTCTAGATGGAAACTTGTTGTCAGTGCCACGGTTGACAAGCAAAGGCTTTGAAGCAAGCTTTGACCAACGTACCTGCACAATAACTCGAAACGGGTCCATAGCGGCACTAGCGACACGGCAACAGTCCTTATACATATTGAGAGGACGGACTTGCAGCAGCAAGAGAGCCTATATCATTCAAGGTCCAAGTCAGCTATTAGACGCCATAGAACCGATTAGAGCACTCACAGCCTGCTTGTACTCATCGAAGGCATCCATGGAGACTTGGCATCGTCGACTCGCACATACCAATCTAAATTCTGTGAAGAAGCTGTATGGGAAGGATATGGTTAGAGGCATGGAAGTTTCAGGGTCAACAGCTCACGAAACAGATGTATGCAAGGCCTGCCTCGAAGGGAAACAATCCCACAAACCTATCCCAGATGAGTCCCAAGTTGAGAATCCTCGTATTCTGCACAGAACATATTCAGACATATGTGGACCCATGGAAACGACCTCCTGAGGTGGATACCGGTACTTCATGACATTCATTGACGCCTGCTTGCACCATCTAGTTGTCAAGTTACTAAAGACAAAAGATGAAGCATTTGGACTTATGAAATTGTACTTCGAACGAGCAGAGACCGAAACAGGCGAACGTGCAAACATATTCCATAGCAATGGTGGTGGAGAATATGGCTCGAAGGAATTTCTAAAATATCTAGAGTCAAAAGGGATCCATCATGAGAAGACAAACACCTACACACCTCAGGAAAATGGAGTCGCCGAACGAATGAACAGGACACTAGTCGAGTCCGCACGTGCATTGCTCAGCGATGCCTCCCTCCAAAAGAAGTATTGGGGAGATGCAATTCTACATGTAGCCCACATCATCAATTGAGTCCCCACACGTGCATTGAAAAGGGATATCACACCTTTTGAAGCATATACTGGAAATAAACCTTCAGTAGCACACTTGAGGACGTTTGGATGCAAAGCATATGTGCATGTACCGGACGAACGATGCCAAAAGCTTGATGCAAAGTCCATTGAGTGTGTTCATCTAGGATATGCCGAGCATCAAAATGCATATGTCTGCCTGCAGAGGTCAAATGGGCGAATATTGGAGTCTAGGGACGTAGTGTTCGATGAAGGGGACTGTGGAGGGTCAAGCCGAGTGAAGATAACTGTTGATGATACTGAAAATCGCCAAGTCAGTCAACAGCAAACACAATCGAAGCCAAATACCCTACCGGCACATCCAGATTCAAATGAAACAGGACAAATGCACATTGAGGAGGTTGCAGATGTAGAGAATGAAGACACCCCACAAGACTTTGAGGAACCGGTGGTCCCTACAACTAGTCAGATTGAAACTAGTTCTCAGCAACCGCGATGCACCTCAACAAGA